GGGCTTGCCCTGCTCGGCGCCGGACGTTCCGCTGCCCATATCCCATTCGTGCGCCAGAGGATGTCCGACTTAGCAATGAACACGCGCAAACTTGGCATCTCACATGCCGCAGACCTTGCAGCAGTGTCCAACTTCCCGCCGGCGGAGAAGCGAGAGGTATCTCCCGAAATGAGACAAGCTGTTCGTGATGCCGTGGCAGGTTCCGACCCAGAAGGATATGCGCGGACTTGTGAGATGATGGTAGATCCTGGACATATTGACCCAGACTACACGCAGATAACATGCCCAACGATATTCGTCGCTGGTGACATGGATGGCATTTCTCCCGTGGAAAGGTCCACTGACCTGAGCAATCTGGTGGCTGGAAATAGTTCAGTGGTCATCGTAAATAGCGGCCACCAGCCTATTTTAGAAGATCTCGAGGGAACAGCTGCAGCGGTGAAAGAGCTATTGAGCAAAGTTGAAACACAATAGAAGACCAATAATCTTGTTTGCAAACAGTCGATTCTTATATTATGGAGAAATCATGGTTTGCTAAGTATAATAAGTTCTCAAACCCTGTCGAGCCCTCCATTCCTATTGCAGAGAAGAAGGGGTCATGGGTCATGCTCTGGAGGCCGTCATGTGAACCCATCATTGTTTGGTCGGCATCGTCCAAGTTGAATTGCGTAAATGGAGCCTGCTGGCTAGAAGCAGATGTGTGGGAGGCGTGCAATGATGATGACGTTCTAGCTCCTGAAGACTGACTTGCATCTCCGCAGAAGGATTTCACAAAAGTCGAAACGTCAAACATGCGTTGCCTCTTCTGAACCCTCCCGTCTCTATGCGACACGTGGTCTAGCTCATCTGCTCGACGTTTCCGGCTACCATTAGTCGCTTCGAATGGCCCGGGGAGTTCTTTCAACAGAGCAGACAGCAGTTTCTCCCCCCGTGTGGCTATCATGCTGTTCTGACATCGTTTAAGGATGTCGACAGTATCCTCGGCAAGCTGTTTGTGCTCTGCATATTCTTTGTCAGATGGATCGCGATGTAGTACATCCAGAAGAAGTATGATGGAAGCCGCAACTGAGAATGCTTGATGGATCCAGAGAATAGGCCCGTCTTCTTCAACGACAAGTTTGTATTCCTTGATAATGGTTTTTGAAGCTGCCAGACATGTTCGTCTTGTGAATGCAAAGGCAGGATTCGTGAAGCTCTCTGAAAGAAACGATCGATGGATCATGATGATTTTATGAGAAGACGATATGGCTAAGGACCTTCTTGCCCAGGGCACATACAGGGGCCATGAAGAGTCGAGGGGGATATGAGTTAGAAACGGCGGTCGCTCCCCTGTCGCTAGACTTCGAAGCCTCTTGTCCCAAAACAAGACTTGCTCGTATTTGGTGAATGCAGTGTTGCACGACATCAAACCGTCTTGTAGTCGCGGCATTATGGACGCAACGCCGTTGAGAAATCGGCAATAGCTGGTGCTAGTTGGAACACTGTCTGGGAGAGGCAGCAAATCGTAATCGTTGCAATTGATTGGAGGCTCTGAATGTGAGTATATAGGATTAACCAGGTAAGTCTCTGAAAATGGAAGACTGAACCAGTCCTGGCTGCAAAGTTGTGACCAGACACGTTTGCCAGTCTCCCTCTCTACGGCGTTTCCAGGGGAGTCCTCAGTAAGGCGATGAAGCCCAAGGCTTTGCGCAATACGCACCGCCGCTGCCAAATGAATCGATTGCATGTTTGAAAAGCCTAATAAATGTGCCGAAATTGTGAGTGTTGCGATGGCTTGAACGGAGAGAATTGATTGATTTGCTGCATATTCAGCTTTATTCAGACAAGTTATGACCGCGCGGACCCATCGTCTCGACAAGGTCTCGCGTTCCGGTTCGCGAAATCCCCATGCTTGTGCTCTGTGAACTGGAGCACAAGTAATGCTGCCAGCCAAGATGGAGAATAAAAGTGCAACCCACTGGAGGTTAACTCCAGTGTGCTCTATTGAACCACGAAAGCGCCCATAAAAGTCGTGCAATTGCCTCCTGAAAGTTGGCGAAAAGTAGCTGCCGTGATACCAGAGCAGACATTCGTCATGGTAGTCAACAAGCTGCCAGACTTGTCGCCTATTTGGAAGGAGCAATTGAAGAACAGCGAGCGGCGACGGATCGTCCAAATCATCCGGAAAGTAGTCCGGCGGGTGTGCGTCGCCAATGTCTCCAGACGCACTGGGGGCTTTGACGACGGCCTCAGGAGAAGCAACGGAATGGAAGTCGGGGTTCTTCCGCCGACCCCAGGCCAAAAACTCAAGTATCGATGCCGCATCTTTGATCACAGCGTCCGGCGCATCATGTTGCTCACTACTGGCATTTGTTCCACTGGGTTCATTTTGGCTTGTGAATGACTCTAAACCGGACTCGACCAAGCCGCGCACAGGGTAAGATGGCTCGGTTCTCGTCCGAGAAGGTGGCCGTCGGTGAGCTGACGCTGGCCGGGGTTCACAAAGCTCGGCCTCAAGCTCCGCGATCCGGGCTTTCAGAACGTCAACGTCTTGACGATTGGCTCCTGGTGATACTGTAAAGTCCCGAGCAAGTCTACTTCCAGAGTCAGGAGCAGCTGGAGATCCAGCCTCTTGACAACATGCGTTTTGTTCTCCTCTAGCAAAACACCTTAGCAAAAGCAATCTGGAATTTTGCGGCACTGTATTCACCTTCGAACGCAATTGGTGCACGGCACTGTCTTCGAACACTTCACTTTCCTGCGCGTACAAGGTAAGCAGGCGAGTTTGCTACGATGATTTGACATGATCAAGGGTCGCCAAGTCACCGTATGCCCTTCGATCACCAAGTGCTGTACGGCCGAGCAAGATAGGGGTGTTGGAGAACCACAATTCATATGTCAGCACTCTCAAGGGGCCCATCAGCATTAATTGATTGTCTCAGAGGCACTAATGGCCTGCTATACCGCTGGCTTGGAGCAGGAGCCACAGCATGCGGGGCGCTCCAGCAACACAATTCCGTCCTAACCACCTCTTCTTACAATATTGCATTAGTCGCCACTTGACTCGCGCGCAACCTACCGACAGTGGAGAGCTCCTAAGGCGCAAATGTAAGTTTCGGGGCCTAGAAATTTGCTTATCAGCACGATGCTTGTGCGAGCGACCTATCACACGCAAGTAATTATCATATCTCCAGTCCGGGCTGATACGGGTTATTGCCAAGGGCCCGCCCCAGCCTGACCGATAGCCAGGGATGGCCTACAGTGCTACATTTGAAAGTCACTGGCAATCAAAAATCGAGAAAGGTTGACCGGGGTTGATGATAAGCATGCAAGATGCATGCCCACCTGTAAGCAGCTCGGGTGGCCCGCAGATCGTATACATACCTGTCAAACCCCATGTGGAATGGCAGGGGAGGCAATGTTGGAAGACTGTAACCGATGCGCTTCCAGGTCTCTATTACCTGACTTCATTCTTACTCCGGACGTTTAAGAGACTTGATGGTTCTCGGGGCCGACGTGTCAACTGTCGCAAAGTGTCGCGATTTGTGCCCTGGCATCTGACAGTGAAGATATTAAAGACCGGTTCTGTTCAAAATGGATTCTTTTACATTCCGGCAGCGGCAACGGCAACGCAGGATAGAAATCAAGGAAAAGGTGCATCTGCGGTTGACAGAGCCAAGCAGCTGGAAGTTACCAAAGCAGTCCAGCAGTATTGCTCCACCCGATGTCTGGACAAATGCGGGTATGTTTCTCGAGTGAGTGTGCAATTACAGATTAGCAAGATTGACCAGCTCTACTGTGTAGATCAAGATCCGGTCCCTGAAGACAAGCAAACATGGACCAGTTGGACTTTCATTACCTATTGGTATTCTGATTTGGTGACTATCTCAACATGGACAGCAGCCAGCTCTATAATGACCACTGGGTTGACTGCCACGGATGCAATACTCATCGTTCTCGTTGCAGCTATCTGCAATGCCATTCCAACCGTGCTCAATGGCGCAATCGGCTCCGAACTGCATATCCCCTTCCCCATTGTTGTTCGTGCTAGCTACGGCTATTGGTTAAGCTACTTTGCCGTGCTGAGTCGTGGTATTCTGGCGTTATTCTGGTTCGGAGTTCAAAGTGCAAATGGAGGAGGCTGCGTGAAGCAGGTGAGTCTAAGCTTTATGGACATGTGTTTCCACGAAAGATCTTTACTAAGTATCACAGATCCTCATCGCCATTTGGCCTAGCTTCGCCCGCCTTCCAAACCACTTGCCTGCGTCGGCGGGGACCACAAGTCAGGGGCTCATATCTTACTTCCTATACTGGCTGATCCAGTTTCCTCTTCTTCTGATTCCTACCCACAAACTGCAGTATATGTTCTGGGTGAAGACCATTTTTGTGACACCCATGGCTTTGGGAATGGTTATCTGGATTACTGTCAAGGCAGGGGGCAATGGCACATTCTTTTATGCGCCGGCCACTGTTCACGGCTCCAAACGTGCTTGGCTTTGGCTCTCAAACCTCACCAGTGTCACTGGTGGCTACAGCACGTTGGCTTGCAATATCCCGGACTTCAGTCGTTTCTCCCGGACACGCGGCGCACAACTGTGGCAATTACCATTCATTCCCTTTTTCAAGGTCTTGGTCGGCATCTTTGGCATTGTGTCCGCGTCTGCCTCTCAGGTCGTCTTTGGGACGACATATTGGAGCCCACTCGACATCATCGCACAGTGGCAGAGCTCTTCAGGTGGGCGTGCTGCAGCCTTTTTCTGCTCTGCCATTTGGCTTCTCGCCCAGATCAGTGTCAACATAAGCGGCAACAGTATCTCATTCGCCAACGATATCACCACCCTCTGGCCAAAGTACTTCAACATCCGCCGCGGAGTGATTTTTGCATCGCTAATCGGTGGTTGGGCGCTCTGCCCGTGGATAATTGTTGCCTCCGCGAAGGCTTTCCTCAATTTCATGTCAGCGTATGCAATTTTTATGGCACCTATCGCTGCGATGATGTTCACAGACTACTGGCTCATCAAGAAGCGGAAGTACGATGTGCCCGCTCTCTATGATCCGCAGGGGATCTACCGTTATCAGTATGGTATCAACTGGCGTGCTCTGGTCGCGATGCTGGTGACAGTTGTACCTCTTCTGCCGGCATTGGCCAAGAAAGTCACCCCTGACAACGTTGATATTGATCAAGGCCTACAGAACCTCTTCTCCTTCAATTGGCTCTACGGCTTCTTCCTGTCTACTTTTATATACTGGATCCTTAATTTCTTCTTCCCGGACAAGAAGACGTTGATTGATCATGTCGTGCCGGGCTATAATGTTACCCATGGCATAGACGGGGACACTGAAAGCCAAATCACAGAGCATAAAGAGAAGGATGCTACGATTTATGACGACAAGAATCATCCTGGTCCGATGCTGGCTAGGGAAATTGGGGGGATTGCCATGGCTTGAGGTGATGACATTGGATTTAAAAACGTCATGAGTAGCGTAAGTAGGAGAAAGGCAAAAGCATTTGATTGAAAGGACATACAAATCAATTTTCTGCATCTTATTTTGCCAACTGCCGTGCCTGACATATCCCCAATACTATTTCCTCCTCAGCAACCTGTTCAACAGGTTCCATAGAGTAGGGAGCACTGAGAACGGAGAAACTTGATATGAATTTTGAAAACATCGCTTAAAAGAATCCCAATCTCATCCATTCTAGCATACACATGATTAAACCAGCCCGACCATCGATACATCCCGTCACAGTCATTAAGCAGTGATAGGGATCGGTACTGGCCCGATAGGTCCTTTACTGGCACCAATGTTGGCTTGATGCATTGATCGGGGGCCGAAGGAATTGGGATAATCTACTGCAGTGTGGAACATCTGGTAGTTCGCCCACATGACAATATCTCCCTCATCCAAGGCTGGGATCATGATATACTCGGGCTTTAGGACTCGTGACTGAATCTTGTTGAGGAAAGCTCGTATCTCAACGACGTCATCTAGGACCTTTGGCTCCTCATCAGGAGAGGACCGGATGAACAACTTCCTTGCGCAGATACCGTGTACCATGAACGCCTTCTCGCCGGTAACTGGGTTCACCCATACCATTGGATAGGACTTAACGTCCTTGGGATCCCAGTCTCCCATTTCCTCAATCTTTTTCTCTTTCCCCTGGGTATATAAACCGAGGCCGGTGGTGTTGCCCTTGCAATCACCAATCCACTGGTACGGGTGAGGTGCGTATTCAACCCAAGAGTGATCAGCGATCTTCTTCTCCTCGTCGCTCATCAGCTCATACATCTGCACATTGCTAAAGAAGGCTGTCAGGCCGGGTTCCGTCTCCATGGTGGTACCTGAGCCGTCATCCCAATGGATGGTGATATTGGGGCACTCAGGGGCTTTAGGACGCTTAATGCATCGCAATGTGGTGAACCAGGCGGGGTCTCGCGCATACAGCGGTGCATCAATATGCCACCGCTGGAAACGAGTGTGACCTTTGTTGAATTCCTCGAGAGGTAGCTCGATAGCATGCCAGTCGTGGGATAGAGCATGTGTGATTGTCGTGTCCTTCAACCCGAAGTGGTCTTCACCCTGGTAGCCTTTACCAATAAGTCGTACATTTTCAGCACCGGGAATTCCGTGGACATCCCGATATCTCTGTTTGACTGGTTAGGCTAGTTCTGCCAAGTGGCCTTGAAAAGGGGCTAACCTACGGAGAGCATGCCACCTTTCTTGTTAAAAGTCTTGATATCGCCGTGCGAATGCACCTGAGGTGCATCTGGATCAAACCTAGTAACGAGTTCCCATTGCTTGATGGGAGCCAGATCTTTTTGCCCCTTGACCACGACGACCTTGTGTGTCCAAATAGCATCACTCAAAGCCTTGACATCCTCATCTACCGCGCGTCAGCCGTCATACCATTTTGAGTCCTCTTCCAGTACCTACCTGAGATGTCACTCAGGTCCAAGTCAGTAATGACGGCACCGAAGTTGTGCTTCTCCTTAGGCGTCTTGTCCATAGGAGTGAGCGTGAAGCTCGGCTCCGGGAGCAGGGTGCTTGGCGACATGGTGTAAGTGATTTCTGAGTGGGTCTATGGGACTGGACAAGATGAACTTGGAGATGCCAGAGAGTGGTGACAATGGCGTGATGCGATTGTGTAATGAAAGCCAATCTCCCTGGAAACTTCTAAACTATGACTTGTCAAATACACCCAAGTTCATCAATGTCGACAGGGTCCGTATTTGTGTTGGCTTTCGTGATAGCTGGTGCTCCGTGTAAGTGCGTGCGGGGATCGCCCGGAGACCTCCGCCGCCTCGGGGTTGGATAGATTTCTTATCAATGCAACAAAGCTGCATTGTTACCCCGCTGGAGCCGTTGGTGACCGCAGTGTAATTCAACCACTCTGGTTGGCTTATGGCGGTGCCGTAGTGGGTGTTGAAGCTCGGCCGAGCCCCGCCACTTGTTCTCGGGCGCCTTTGGAGGGTAATCGGCCGTGTCGTGATTTCATTTCCCAGCTTCCGTTCAGTCCGCCGACAATCATAGATACGGGTACCATGCCCTGTGATGCGCTAGTCGTGGAGAGGGGCAAGATAGCTGAAGGGCCCTGAGATGGCTGGGAATGCCTCTCGGTGTGCCTCAGATGGCTTCACCGACTAATGCCTTTCTGACTTTGTCATCTTGTTTAGTATACTCAAACAGAGCTCGAAATGCTTGTCCAGGGCTTGATTGTTGGCGGACTGCTCGCACAGCTGACTGTTGCGTGTAGTGGACAAGGCAATGGGCTCTCGCGCCGCTCAGCAGCGCAACAAGCGCCCATTGGAGATGCAACTCTGACGATAAACAGTATTCCATACTCGACCAGGGCCCACTGGATGCGACAGGCAAACATCGCCCTGGGAACTCCATGCCCCTTTGCGGCCTTTGGGGCTGTTGTAGTCAACCATACCGATACGAGTGGATTGGGAGAGGTTGTGTGCACAGGTGCAAACAGCAACAGCAAGACGGGAAATCCTACCTTGCATGGTATGCAACTCTTCATCAAGACCAATCGACCTCAACTCTGGTACACTTGTGCTAACCGTCGTTGGGAACAGGTGAAATCGCCGCTATAAACAACTGCAGTGCTATCCTCACCGACCCAAGTGGCCCCTACAAGCTCTCGCCTGCCAACGCGCTCACGGCATTCGCTCAATTGTCTCTATATACCAATGCAGAGAGCTGCCCGATGTGCGCTTCAGCTATTCGCTGGGCTGGGTTTAGAGAGTACATCTACGGAACCACCATCGACACCTTGATTGAGAAGGGCTGGGGTCAGATCCGAGTGTCCTCACTTGACATCTTCAAGCAGAGCTTCGATCTGCCGCATGTTAGTCGTCTCATGGGCGAGGTGTTAACAAACGAGACGGATCCCTATTTCCTATGGCAATTTGACCCAAGTTATCCGTGTCCCAAAGGGTGCGAAAGAGTAGCTGGAAGCTGCACAGCTTCTTGAGCTATGACGCCTCTGCAAGACGAAGGTGCAATAACGAGAAGGGACTGTCCATGATTTTGTCGGTCATGGTAGCACCTGAGGGACGAACCATAGAAGATAGACAATAGATACACATCCTAACAGGGTCGCCAATTGAAAACTTGAGTGCCGGGGAAATGCCACAGACATCCCTTCAGCCGTCACCCATTCTCAGGTTCGTTCCGCCGGAGAGAGGCTTCGGCTGACGTGCCGAGGCCCGTAGTGCAGCTCTATGGTAGCGTAGCGCGACTGCTAGTCAGCGCTCCTTCAGTGGACCGATCGTTTCTTATCGTCTCGATTCGCCTGCAGTGGAACAAACGTCGGCGGCTGCCGTAAACCACTGAAAATCGCGGTCGACACCCTCGTCTTATCGCTGTTGCCACGATTCGTTGCTGTGGTTGGAAGTGCTCTGGAGTGTAATACGTATGAGGCCCCGGGAAAAGGCAAAAGTACCTCAGACATGACAGCCGCATGAACCCCTCCATGCACCAGAAGAATCATCGAACATTTTCCATCAAGAGCCATTTGCTTGACAATCTGAAGAGTACCTTTATACATCTGTATCGAGGCATCTAGGCTCTGAGGCAGGTGGAGAGTCAAACCCTCCTTTGAACAACATCCAGCATAGAATCCGCTGCTCCCAGGTCCAACATGGCCACCAAGACCAATTATGTCGACAGAGTGATCCCGAAGGTAAGGAAACCTCCCCGCATCTGCATTCTTCACCCTGGCAAGTTCGACGCACCTCTGACGCCACCGAACCACACAAGATCTCGCTGCGAGACTTCGACAACCGCATAGATGAGATTACGGCGCAGCTCTGTGATGCGGCCGAAAACGTTGGCTTCTTCGCCATCGTCGATCATGGGATCACGCCTCAGGAGGTCGAGGATATGTTTGCCACGTCTGAGGCCTTCTTCACCTTACCGGACGATGTGAAAGCCACCGTACCCTGGAACCCGCAGAACGTTGGCTGGGAGAAGATGTCCCAGATCCGGCCGTCCACCGGCGCAGCCGACACCAAGGAGTCGTACCAGCTGCAATTTGGGGAGAACATGGTCAGCGGTGGTCACGGCGCCGACGGAAGCCTGTGGATGAGCGATGACCATGTCCCACAGTTCAAGGACAAGTGTCTGTCCTATATGAATCGTCTCCAACAGATCTCCGAGGACCTCATGGTGTGCTTTGCGAGGGGCCTAGGCTTCCCGGATGACTATTTCAAGCACTTCCACGATGCCAAGAACCCGAAGTGTCAAAGTGTCATGCGCCTTCTTCACTACTACGCAACGCCCGAGACAAACGACGGCAAAATCTACCACCGTGCTGGAGCTCATGCCGACTGGGGCTTCCTGACACTTCTATTTCAGCGCGAGGGCCAGGGCGGGCTGGAGATTTGTCCGGGCCGAGATGTGGTCACGAAATTTGCGCTGGGAGACGCTTGGACAAAAGTCAATTTCGAGACCGGTGCCATAATTTGCAATATTGGCGATCTGTTAATGAGCTGGTCGGATGATAGGTTCAAGTCCACCTTCCACCGTGTTAAAGCACCATGTGAGCCTGGTGATTACTATGGTGAGCGCTACAGCATCGCTTTCTTTAACCAGCCAGCGAAGGATGCGATCATTCAGGGGCCAAAGAAGAAGTACCCACCCATTACAGGCGAGCAGTTCACAAAGAACGCTATGTCTGTGCACTTTACAGCCCTACAAGCGAAACTGAAGGCTCAAGCTGACGCTGAGGCGAAGGCTGCATCGACTGGGGCGTCAGAGACGCTTTCGACCCCATCGGTCCAAGCCGCTGCGTAACGGAAGAAAGATTATATGAATGGCATATTATTAAAGCAATGACTTCTTGATGCTCTTCATTTGTAGTCTATATTTATGTTGCAACACAATCATGCAAATATAACACGAGTCCACCAAAAGTCAGCCAACAAGAGCGTAACGACTCTTAGATGATGATCCTGCCCACCTTATGCATCTTCTAACCCTCCTCTTCGCCCCCTTTCTCGCCTCCAGTCCCCAGCTACAGATTGTTAGCTTGTGAAAAACAATGATTTTAAGATTGGTCCAACTTACTATCCATAATTTGTCTCTTGATGTCACCGTCTGATCTCGGGGTTGAGGCTATTTCCGCCGACTTTTCGGTATTTTCAGTAGCGACATGTTCAGTACCCCCCACGCCTTTTATGAAGGAATGTGCTATCGTAGCAATCACGTAACCCCGAAGTTCAATATCCTCCTGTGCGTCTTGTTGCTCTAACCTCATTCTTTCTTCTGTACTCATTTTCGCGCGCCGAAGTGTCTTGATTTCCTGTATGATATGGAGGAGCACAGGCTCAGGGCACCTCTCTCGTGCTAATGCCAGCTCAGCCTTCCTGACGTATCGTCGCGTCACGTCTGCTGCACCATCTACCGAAAATGCTATGCAGTAACCTATCTTCTTGCCCCAGCCTTCAACCCCAAAGTCAGCTTTTCTCGTCCGTCTTTGCACCTCGAAAGAGTTAAGCATACCTTCTGTATATAGGCGGGGAGTATCCATCGCCTCTTCGCATGGATCCGCATGTATCCATCTTCTTTGATGCTCAGAGTAGACCTCGGTCCAGACATGATCGACTTCTGACCAGACCCAACGAACCCGTGAGCCAACAGCTCTGCAAAGCATACCGAAACAATTGGCCCATTCGCCCACACGTCCCCGTCGCGTTTGAAGAAGGACCCAGACGTCCGAATAGCGTGGGAAACGAACATAGTCGCCATTCTCGGTGCATTTGTACAGCTCTACCCGTCGAGCTCCTCTCGCATACTCCTCCGGAGTGGGCTCAACCATGCCTTGGCCCTTGGTAGCGGCGCCACAAAGCTCGCAAACGGGGTTATTGACCCAAGAGAAAAAGCTGCGTTTGAACCAACGAAGTAAGGCTCGAATGACACAGTCTTGGTAGGCCCATTTCGGCTTCCTGCCATCACCCATTGACTCAGCTAGAGCTTCATTCAAATGTGTCTCTTCCTGCGCCTCGCTATAGATTCGGTCCAATGGAATAACTTGCAGCGCTTCATCAAGCAGCCCCGGATTCTCCCATCTAACAGGCGTTTCAGACAGGCTGATTAGCATGTTGCGGAATCTCATAGAAGTTGCATCTGTTGGTGGCATCGGTGCCAGAGATAAATCCGAATAACGCGGAGGAGCTTCTCCGGAGCTTTGGGGCTCATTACTGCTCGTCTTCTGGTCGACCAGTAAGGAAGCTGCTGAGCTTGGTCTGGACGGGCTTGTTTGGCTTAGTCTCTTCGTTCTCAAGAGATCTTCGAATCGGGTTGCCAGGTCTTTGCTCCATGCGGCATCTACATCTACAAATTGATCTGTCAGGTATGTACCCCCTGCGGCATCCAGGCCCTTCTTTGGATTTACTGAAGTAGTCGTCCTCAGTGGGATCTGGGATAGCTGCTCAATGTACGGCGGCGCGGCAACTACTATGGATGGCTCCGTGGTCTTGGCTCCCGCGTCCTCTTTGTGCGCTGCGATTTCTTCTCCAGGAGTTTGGGTTCCCTGCTCATGGGTCTCATCGCCTTCTTGGCTTTGACTCGTTTGTGTTTCTAGAATCGTCGGCTGCTTTAATACCTCTGTTGTATTTTCGACAACGGCTTCATTGTGCGACAATTTGCCTGCGGTGTCTGAAGCATCCGAGCTCTTTTCTGCTGGGTGTTCCTTAATTTCTGATGGAAATCGAGGAACAATTCCTGTTCGAGCTTCAATATCTTTAAAAATGTCCCGGAAAGGAACTACAAAGGCAGCACCAGTGTCAGGAGATCCTGCGATAATATGGCCATAGAGATCGCCAGAATAGGCATTGATGACCCAAGAACCACAATCTCCTATATTTAACTTATCCTCCAAGATGATGGTGAATGCCTCCCGGAATGAATCATCGCCGGCCATGCGTGCATACGTCGGTGTTCCAGATATGAACCCTTTTATTGGTCCACGTGGTGTTAATGCAATGACCTCTGAGCTTGCCAGCTCGGCCGACACGATTTTGAGAATGACAAGCCGGTCGGCCTTTGACTCGGGCTTTGGTATTTCGTTTCTAACCTTGTGGAGGGCGTCTCCCACTTCGATCAAAGCGTAATCGAGATAAGATAGTTTAGTCTCAGCGGAGGAGATATCCATTTTGCCGAGTGTATCCAGTTCAACCTCATCTTCGATTGGGATAGTATTCATCCCATGAGACAGTTGGTCCTCCTGTTCTGGGCTAAGCATATCCTCTTGACGACCTCTGCGATCCCATGCCGGAGTATTCTCCCCTAAGGCGTCTACACAGAGAGACTTCCCTTTATTCGACGCAGAGGAAATGTCATCAAGTCCTGGCTTTAGGGGTTCACCTGCAGTATTACTGTAAGGCGGTGTTACAGTGCCTTCGCTGGTGCCATGTGTATCCTGGTCGGCACTCCATGCATCGTCTTCCATTTCGCTATCACAATCCATATCGAAGCCTTCATCATTATCTTGTGCCAACGAGCTCAGTGTGTTTTGGTCAGCATCGAATGCATGGTCCGCTGTCGTGTAGTAGAATTTCTCGCCGACCTGAATTACACCTCCGACTGATGCTTTCCTGGTCCAGAAATCGCCTGTTGTCGAAGACCCGCCCTTCACGAATATTTGCATTCCCACTGCGCTCCTTGAAGGAGCAGCAAGCACTATGAGAGTTTGTGACCCGTCTTGGCCTGAATTACCGCTCGCCAGTTGTATAAGCTGGCGAAATCCAGGTGCCCGGGTCATATCTGCCGTTCTCATGCCAGGATACTGTTTGAGGAGCCCGCTCTCCTTGATGGTCTTCCTGACCTCACGACGGGGCGCGGCATCTTCGCAGCAAAAGATGATCGTCGGCGCTGCGCTGGCCTCGGCCACGCCAATCATGTAGACAGACCATGTCACCCAGCTGGAAATGGGCTCGACGCAGTTATCAAGATACGCCTTGATCTCAGGCGCGAGGGTTCTGAAGGCTTCGCGGGCCGGCCCTTTAGCTTCCCAGCACCAATCATTCCCCACCTTGCAGATGCGGCGCCCTGTGGACGCCACGGGATCGGGCCAGGCGCCTTTTTTACCTCGAGCCCCACGGAAGATGGACGAGATGCCCGTCTCCCGAGATGTCAGGCGCGATGTAAGATATTGTGTAGTAGACATCCTGGCCGGCCATGAAGCAAGGAAACGGGCCAAGTGCTTCGAAGCACAATCTTTGTGTTGAAGAGCATTTCCCTTCGCCAAGGTCGAAGATGTGCAGATAGATGAACTATCGATTCGACTCCATTTGCGGCTGAGTTAACCCCGCCATCAAGCCTGGCGCACGCTATTCGCAACTCTTTTGCCGCCGAAAGTGCCTGTGGCGTGGAGGATCACCCCTGCAGGTGGCAGTGCTGCGCTTCAGAGTGGTGAGCACGATTCAGAAGGCTGTCCTAACCGAACCGGCCGGTCAGCAAGAGCTCATGCAAACGAGCATCTCTATCTTTGATAATCTTCAATTCAAACCATGCGTTCTTAAGCAGACATGGAGCCTGCTATCCCAATGCTCGATGAAGAAAAGGAATACACAATCGACTCCAGTCTTCTCGATACACCAATTGGAGCAGCAACACGCCGTGAGATTCTGGCTGAGTTCTGGGGCGCGTCGAGGTTACAACGCCTGAATGGTCTTGAGGTTGATCTGGAGCCTTACTGGAGCTACTATGGCAAGGAATGCAGTCACGCTCTACACGAGGAGGGCAGACATGTCGCTGCAAGATATCACCGAGACATCATCGAGATTGTTCGGCAGCTGAAAGGCGGCGTGCTTCGACAGGATGTCAAGGCTGGTCTGCGCTCCAAGCTAACGGTCCTCCACGCGAACGAGGACGAGATGTTAGACAACTCCATCAATTTGGCAGCAGGTCTGCTTCTCATGATTGACTTTGGTGGCTTCTCATACGGCTTTTCCGGCAAGACCGAGTTGGAGTGGAAGGACGCGCCGCTGGTAGACTTCTTAGAGGATTACTTCTGTGATGACAGCGTGCTGGCCCATGAACGGGTGAAGCTAGAAAAGAACTTCACGGCGCGGAACCTCGGCCGCATCGCCGGAGTAGAAATTGTCTGGACCGATAACCTCATCGACCACCTGCGGATGACGGATGATGACACTAGGATACACATCTTTCACCATGCGTCGTTTTTAGAAACGCAAAGGAAAAGGTAAGCCATCCTTCAATACCAAAGCACCTGCTTATTCTAGCCACATGATTGCACAACTGACTTCATAATAGCAGCGATAGCATGCTACCTTCAGGTCTGGCGGAGGAGACGATCCAGACTCTCGCGCTTCTTTTCCCGTCAACAGACCCGGAACTGAAGAAGTGGTTCGCCAAGTTGCCGGCCTCACCACACCTCGACCGGCGTGTCATTCAGTGCGGGCGGCTTAAGACCGATCATAGGCAAATCGAGAGATTCAGCTTCTGGCGTGACAGGCTCGTGACGCTTAAACAGGTTTTCGACGAAGCGCAGCCTAAGACGTTATCGCAATGGTGGCATGACCGCAGGAATGGCGTCCAGTGGTACACCTTCTGGGTTGCTGTCCTTGTGTTGGTGCTGACTATTGTGTTCGGGCTAATACAGAGCATTGAAGGTGCTCTCCAGGTTTATGCCTCTTTCAAGGCGCTCAAAAATCCTGGATAGACTTATCAGTTGCAGTATTTGGTTTGCTTCTTCGTTGTGGAGACCAGGAGTTTGGGGAGCGGCGTTCAGTGAAGCCAATATTTAATGGCACATGTAACTATACAACAAGAATCAAATTGCCTTGGGCATATCTACCTTGAAGCAGCCACTCTTCGTATTCACCAAAGACGTATCCTGTAAGTGATGTAATGTCGTTTGATTGTCTCTATTAATTTTATACTACCTCTGGCTTATTTCTTGCGAAAGAACGGATTAGGCTGGTACGGCGCCATCTCCGTGTCAAGCAAAGGCTCCTTGTCATCCATCACAGGCGGTGCAATTTGGACCTCGCCACGCGCAATCTCCAACAGGCTCATCAGCGGCAACAAAAGCATGAGCAGCGAGATCAGGCTTCCAAAACTCCATACAGTCTCGCCCTTGTCGCTCAGCGGTGTTGTGGGCTTTCCGAAGGCCTGGCTTAGTAGGATGACACGCACTGTCGCGCCGACGGCGATGGCAGTCATCAAAACCCAGCCGATCAGTTGCGCCAGCTTGAAGAAGCGCTGTTTTCTATAGTGCAAATACCAGGTCGAGGCTGCGAAAACGATGCAGTTGCCTGCAATGACGGCGATTGTCCCGACATAGGACAGGCCCGCATTGCTCGCGGAGCCGTTCCCATCGATGCCCCAGACACATGCGACAGGTAGCGTCGACGTTTCGATATCCTTTTGCACGACCTGCAGCATGAAGATTCCGTAGATCGCACTCAGGATCAGATTGACAAACATGAGGAACTGTCGCAACCAACGCAGCACCCAGTCTCTTTTGAATTCGCCAACCAGTGCAAGCAAGGTGGCGTTATGCACAGCCATCGACAACAGACTGAGCATCCATATTATGAAGAAGTGGTACGGCACTAGGGTATCCAACTGCGCCAGCCCGACGGCCTGTATGCCGATGCCGGTGAGGATCTGCTGGTCAGAGTAGCTGTTGAGCAGCTTGCGCCGTATGGTGGAAGGTTTCGAGCTCTTGAAGAAGGAGTCTTGGATGATGAGCGACACTGAAATGAGCAGTGCCAAGACGGCAGTGATGATGAATGATAGGAGCACCTAGACAGTGGGCATGTAATTAGCTCTGTTCGGCCATGAGGCTATCAAGGCCCCCACGCTTGAGGAGAGCTGCTATACGTGTAGAGAGTAAAAGTGGCGATGGGAGGGTGAAACTTACACCGGTGCCTGCAATGCCAGCATTGCTGGGCGTTTTGGCTGGTGCATGAGTACAGTTGGCGTCCTCGAACATGTTCACAGCGGACAGGACTTAGATGCAAAATAGTGGAAACAGACGCAGGCGATATTGTAAGTTTGAGAGGCGGCAAAAGAAAAAGAACAGCAAACGGAAAGGAAATGGAGTCTGCCTCGCGGACGACCAGAAATGGAGAAGTCAACTATCAGGCATGAATCTCGAAGGAAGCTGTTGAAAGAAGGGATCATGGGCCATGTCTTTAATACTCTACTGTATGACGTCGCCCTTGTCACAGGAATGAGTACTGTACCACAAAGTCATGTTTAATTCTCTGATACGACCGCATTAGCATGAAACGGCGAAAGGACCCCTGGATTAGCGGCAGTCTGGTGGCTTAACAGGCGGATGACTGGCTGTCGATCGCTGTTGGAGATCCTGGAGACGCAGCGCCAAGGCCTGGAGGTCGCTCAAAGGGCCTCTCGTCGCCAATCAGGCACTTCAAACGCGGCATCCCTTTGCCTTTGTCTGCAATCTGGACTGATGCCCCTGGTCCTGGCCTTCGTCAGGAAAAAGACAAGGGCAGTCCGAATAATGAAAGGGAAGGCCAGGCCAGGCCATGCCTCAAAATAGCTTCAAAGGGGCGGCCACTCGTCTCAGGCCTAGGCGTCTTTTCTTCCCGCGCGGGAGACCATGGCCGTCGCGTCTAATGCTACCGTCCGACTAACAATAGCAAATCAAGTATTCATGCAGGCATCGCCTCCCTTCGACGGTGCAGCAGTGCTCAAAATATCATTGGCGGCTATCAGAGGCGGCTTTTTTGCGCTTAGAACCACAGCATTGGCAGAGCGCTGAGCAGGTCTAAGTCTTGACTGTACCTAATTCGGATTGGCCATGATAATGGGACATTTCTCAGTGATAGGATTCAAAATCATTTGATTGATGCGGCTCCGTCGCCGGGGACGGCAACCTAAGTAGCCAGGAGTGACAGTCGCCGATAGCAAAGCTTGATCGCTGTGACAAGCAAGCCGGCGGCGCTCCAAAAGCTTAAATGCATTCCTAGAAAAGCCGAGCTCGGTGCCGGTTGGGCCCTCCAGAACCCTCTGACCACCCTCTCCCAGCCGCATGCATCCACATCTGCCGTGATTGTCGTCAGTCTTGCATCGGACTTATGCTGTCAATCTCCGGAACTGAAGAAGATCGAAATTGCTTTTATCGTAGGATTCTGTCGCGTCAATGGAAAGACACAAATTCAGAGCCAAGAGCTTTTCGATTTCTGAATCCCAAAAAAAACCAGAGTTCAGAGCCAGGTGTAACTGAAGCGCCAACATGCCTTCCAACGAGAGTATCAAGAATGCCGTAAAGCTGATCGAAGGTGACAAATCCAAGGTCTTGCGCTTCAACATGGGCAAGCACACCAATGTCGAAACGGGAAAATATATCCCAAAAGCTGGTGAGTGCTTTCATTGACATGTGTGACACCAACAAGTCGTCATCTCATTCACATGAATAGAGGCACAAACGGAACCAGAGCTGTTCATCACCACTTCGTCTTCGACTGGGACTTATATCGCCATTGGCCTTGATCTGGATGCTCCCTTCCCAGGGTTCTTCACCGCTCTAGGCCCCATCTTGCACTGGATTCAACCCGGGTTGAAGGCCGGCCCAGACGGCAAGCTTACATCCAGCGATCCTTTCATTGCTGATTATATCGGGCCAGCACCCCCACCCGGCAGCTCCCCGCATCGGTACAGCTTCTTCCTGTATGAGCAGCCTGAGGGACTTGACATCCAGAAATATGCTCCAGCGGGAGGCAAGAAGCTTGGTAACTGGAACCGAATGAGATTCAGTCTGGACAATTGGGAGAAAGAGATCAAACTCGGCCCGCTTGTAGCTTTCAACTACTTCAACAGCAACTAGGTGCCTCCTGTCTTTGCTGTAGCGTTAGAATCACCAGCCATTTTTTATATACCCCTTCATTACACAATCACTTGCAGAGAAGACAACAGAATGTCTAGAATGCTGTTGCATTATGAGGTTTCCTTTAGGCCTAGTAGATGATCATTTTAATATTGACCAAGATACACCTCCACCCAAGATTCAGCAGGCTTTCATTTCAGATTAGCTCGTGAAGTTGCCAATACCATGTGTATTATCGTAGGATAATTTTGATCCTACCTCCTCCCTCGGGCCATTGTGTCTTTCATTCAACTTTTGAGGTGAGTAATGATAGATTATTCCAGTGGCACGAGCCCTAATGCTTATCGTCAAACATGTACTCAAAAAGAAGTTTCTCTTTTCCATTCGTGAAGCTTTGAATTGCAGTTTCACCAGCACATATGCTCAATCAACTCCCATTCTCACCCCTATAAAGCGACAGACCGCATCAACAGTGCATCGGACAAGGCAAAAGCATGTTTCTGACTTTTCTTAGAACAGAATATAGCTGCTACTGCGATCTCGGGAGTGTTTTACATTGAGAGTTCTTCCCTCTTTTGATCGACTGCAAGGATCATTCGGTTCTATCTGTAATCACTAAAGACGTATATTCAAAACCGACATTTAAGTTAGACGATAGAAACGGAAGGCCACATCTAAAATGCGTGAACGAGAGCCACCTATACCCAAAAAGAAGGAATCCAATCTTTGGCAAAAGCTCGGAATGGCGAAGCGTCGTCAACGTCGGAGACGCTCGGTGGCACCCAAGTTCGATATCAGGCGCTTGAAAGACGTTCTAGAGCAAAAGGCTCCTGAAACCCGATAGATTCCAGCAATCGAGCGTATCAGCAAAGGCGACGACGAAGCGCCACAAGTTCTTCAAAGCCTTGTTGACCTCATTCCATCAAGGGGACTTATCTTGCCTCGATACACTATCATTGCTCCTGCTACGGATGGGCGTATTCGTGAAGCTATGATCCGCTCCCACGGCTTCAAAGTATTGAACCAAATCGAAGTTTCAAAGATTATTACGGAGGCCTTCGTCTGGGCAATGAAGCTCTGCGAAGACCGAAAGACCTCGTATGGACTTTTCTGGTCACGGCTCGCAGATAGGATCTGGATGCATGCTTACGTGAACGGGCCGATGATCAAGGGTTTCATATTGCGCTTAGTCTTAGCTTTCCGGCAAGGAAACAGCTATTCAAACAGTGAAAGTGCGATGTGCGGAGCAATCCGCATGCTCAGTGACCATCTGAGAAGCGAATCGGGTGAGGACGAAGCCTCTTCGAAGTGTTTCCCGCCACAACAACCACCCAGTAACGAGGCAGAGAACTACGTCGCCGCCAATCTGCGAAGACTCAGCTCGTTTCGTGATCCAGCTGCTGATCACCAAGCCGAGGTGCTGCAGGAATTGACACGGCAAATTCTTGAAGAATCACCCCTCAAGACCACTAGGGACACCGCCAGGACCTTGAAAAAGTCTGTTGTGACCAAGAGCAACATCGCCATACGCAAGAAAACCCCAGTCTCTGCTGGCAGTGGCCTATTACAGTTGGGAATAAGTACAAGGGAGAGAGCAGCACAACGCAACCGAGCAGTGTTGTGATGGATTAGAGCATTATCAAGTACTTTTGCGAACATTTTACTATGTTAGGTTGGTTACTGTGAAGAGAAACGATGGTATCGTGTCTCGTTGTGTATTTTATGGTGTATTGAACAGAGTGATCTGACTCAAAACTGATCAAATAAATCAAGTACGTTTTTATGGCAGATTGTATCGAAATATGTCTCTTCTTTTCCTTTTCTTCTTTTTCTTTTTCTCATTTTTCTCCTTCTTTTTTGCAATTAGCATTTTATACGGTGTTTATAATGGAAAGCCTAGTATCCAGTCACAAATGTATATCCGGAAGCTAATCAGCGTATTTTAGCATCCCTCAGGCCATTGATGGGCACACGCACATACATGTGATATTTGAACAGAGCATCTTGTAAGACAGTACACTTATTTCGTCGTGGTGGGTTGCCTCTTGACAACTGCTTCCATTTCAGGCCTGTCAGATGGGTCTTTGTGTAAGTTGGTGGCGCCCACTAACACCCAGCTAGTCTCAGCCGTCAAAGAGTTGGTGTCCGCATTCGGCATTTAGTCAAATTACTTAGTCCACTAAGGCGTTCCAGTGAACGAATGGCCGGTGGGCACCGAAGCCACGAGACTGGTTGGGCTGTTGGTTTAGGTTCAACAGGGAGCAAGCTCTCTGGCGGGGAATGAGCTGTCTGCCAGCATGTTGATTTCCACAGGCCGCCCTGTTAGGAATCTGGGGGCGAAGACGTCTCTTCATCAAGATTCACAAATACATGCGCTGATCTCCCGCCAGAAGGGTATCATGTGAATTTGCTATCTCAGTAAGAATTACCAAGACCATAGACCAAGCCATTACATAGTGAACTCCAAATTGAATTCCAAATATAACCCCTCGTCCGCCGTTATTAGCCAAGGCATTTGAGCAAATCTACTGTCCCCCAGGATACACCATTCCACCAGTTGACTCGTACGGCTGCTTCAGAGCGGTCTCGCTAACAAGGCTCTCGCGGTATTCGGCCTCCTTATCCTGCTGTACAAGGTCGCAGAGACCACAGCAGCAAGCAGCGGCAATGTCGGTAATGCAGGTGCCCTCCAGGTTGTACTTGCTGCGGATATCCGCACGTTGCATAGACATGGGAATCCAGTGCAGACCAACACAGGCAGAACCACAGAGGAGAAGGCACTATAGGTGTCATTAGCATTCGTAGTACCACTAGCAACAGAGGCACTCACAGAAGTGTTGATGGGCTCGTATCCTTGGAGCTTGGGATCCTTGCGGACACGGTGATGTGTCTTGCCGAAGGTGACACAGGGCAGACACCATGTAATCAGGCATAGGTCGATAGGATTAAAGCACCCGAAGAACGAGTTGTTCCAGCCGCCAGCGGACTCAGGAGACTTGGATTTAACAACATCGCCCGGCTTTGCGAGCACCTCATTCACACGCCTCTTCCAATCCTCGATATCATGGTCGTTGATGGGGCCAGTGCTAGCATGTGCTGGGGCCTGGGCTGGGGCCGGAGCAGGAGCCGGAGCAGGAGCAAGAGCGGGTTCCGCAGCAGGGACGGTAGCTGGGGCAGCTGGGGCAGACATGGTGATCAGCGAACGAGGGGATGAGTTGAATTAGAGATTATTGGAAACGAGTGACAGGAGCAGCCAGAGTGCAGAGCAGGAGGTGCTGGGTATTATTAAGACCGTGACAAGAAATCTCAAGAAATAAAGTTCTCTAGAGAGCTTCGAGGGATGGTGTCCCGCGTTTATGTATAGACATAATGGAAGTCCACGAGCCAATGAGAACGACTGTCAGCCGAGACTCTCTCACCTGATGTCTCCCTAGCACTGGAATCCTTTAACATCTCAGCCCTTCAGCCTACCTAAGAAACTTTAGTACGATTCCGGGTCATGAACAGGGTGTGGCTTGGCAGAAGGAGATAAAGGGCCGGTTCTGCATTGGTCAGATCAAGGTTTGGCGGGCGAGAAACTATCCGCTCCCAGGATCTAGAGATGGGATTTACCACACAAAACCGCAAGCACGGCACGTTTGCAACTATCGTGGGCTGTAGCCTGCAACCAGCAGAAAAAACTCTGGAATGTATGGGGACGAATGCGTGGTCGGCGCCAAGTGGCTGCTACTCATTTCAGTCTACCAACTGTCACTGGTTCCCTGAGTTGCGGCTGAGCGCCACCAGCGGGACTGCTTCCGTACGATCAGCACCGCAAATTACCATTGAGTCAGGGGTCTTGGCAAGGCAGAATTGACGACCTCCAAAACTTCAACGGTCTTTCTTGGCTTCGATTATGATCCCCAAACTGTAGTTATTTTCGATTTTTGGCCGTGTTCATCGTTGAAGCTGGTGGTACGCTAATACTAAGGCTTTAAGTAAAACTTTGGCCAGCCCCATCCGAATAGCAAGCCCTTTCAATGAGTGGTTTTACTTACAAACAAAGCAACTTCGAGATTTCGAGGTGCACTTGTCAATTAGAGTTGCTCACATGGCTCTTGCTCTTGACGTGAATACGCTGGTTGCTGCAGAATTTCAAGCCACAGTTCCCCTAACCTGTTTGATGTCCTTGATCTTGATATCCCTCCAAAGAGCAACCGCGATAAATGCACCAGCCAAGAGACAAACACTAGTAATGAGCATATATCGTTGGGCCTCGCCATATGCTAGACTGATACCAACTCTCGTTGGGTTTCCGACCGGATAAGCAAGTTGTATGTACAAGCTACTGTAAATCCTTTCTACAGGGGCTGTCGCAGGGAGATGCTTCCGTAAAGCAGGTAAGAAAGTCCCCGTCCAGATGGCCGCTGAGACGGCAGATCCCAAAGCGGTACCGATACTACCGAAAAGATCGAGAATGGCGATGATCGTGGCGATGTACTGATGATCCGATGGTGCCATCATGGCCATCTCACCGGCGATGACTAGAGGGCCTCCTGCAAATGCAACGAATATTTGCGTCATGATCACATAGCCAATTGAGCTGTCGGGCTGTCGAAATTTGATCATAAGCCCAACGCCAAGCATCATTAGGGGAAGACCGTAGTATAGTGCGACCCATTTGAACCTTCCCGTGTATCGAATGGCGTATCCGATGGGTATTGCCGCGAAACATGACCCAACGCGGTAGATATTGCTGATATATGTTGTTTCGGTGACACTCTGGTTCCAGACAACCAGCAGCATAGAAACAAAGTAACTTCCCCAAACGGCCGAGTTGAAGAAAACGAAGACAAACATTACGCCAGCGAAGAACACCGTTCTATCAGCCAAGAGTTCGTATTTGATGAAGGTGACCGGAGCCAAATACTTCTCGTATAGAACAAAAGCAATGATAAGAAGAGCTCCAAAAACGAGCATGCAGATGATCATCGGAGACCGCCATTGCTGGGCCTGGTATGACCAGATGCTCAGCCCAAGTAGGAATAGCGACATGCCCGCCGCCAGCAACAAGAGGCCAAACAAATCAACCTCGATGCAATAATCCTTGATAGACTTCAGGGTGATATTCGTGTGTCTATTCGGAATGACGCCAGCTTTCTTTGCCTTTCGATCGCCCCAAAGGAACAGTAGGCAGAGTGGTACAACCACCACGGGGGTTATGATGCAAAATATACCAAAGCCCCATCGGAAGCCAGGACCGGCCAAGATGCTGTCGGCCATCGGCCCACCGATCCAAGTGGTGACAATGTACGGCGACGTCGCGAAGGCAAGCATGAGAGCTCGGTTCTTCAGGGAGGATGTATCTGCAATGAAAATTGTCAAACAATAGCTGCAACCTTGGGCCCTGGATATTGGTTAGCGAAATTCTCCATTCTTTTGATTACTAACACCTACCCAATTGCAGAAAACACTTGTGCGGCGGCATAAGTTTGAACGTTTTTGCACACAGCCATCATGATGAAGCCAATGACCCATAGCAACAAAGTTAGGGCCAGACCTTGTGGGCGACCCCAAGTATCGAGAATCTTAGCCAAAGGAAGTTTTGAAACACCTCCGAAGATACTTGACATGATGTTCGTTGCGGCCGTGAGAGAGTGGAATTGGAAAGAGCTGTTTACGAACGGAGTGAGTTGTCGGACGACAACTTCCTGTGTTGATGTAATGAAATAGATGAACCAGATGCTGTTAGATTTCCTCGGTGAGTCCTTGATCTTGGGACTTTCTGGTTCCAGGCCATGGACTGACTACTCACATCACATAGGCGCCAACAAGATGCCATTTAGTCCAGACAGTGGTAGCTGCTTCCACCCTTCTAACACCTTCTTGATAGTCATCAGGGATTGCTTCACCCTCCGACGACATAATAGGACCATTGGGCGTTACTTCGGAGACATCTTTAGGCCTCTCTGATGGGCTCTGGTTCTTTTCAGTGTCCGTAAAGGCATTTTCGCTGCCTGATAGCGTCTTCGATGATAAGAACCCCATAACGAATGCAGATGAGATAGAAATGTCTAGCAAAGGGATCTGTTACAAAGTGAGAGGCTTAGATCTCCCACAACCCTTGATGTTTGGCTCGAGGGAAACGAAAGGCACCAATCTCATCGCGAGGGAGCGGCCCGTTATGTGCGGCGTACCGCGGCATAAGAAGCATGTGCCTTTCCCGTCGGGGCATCTTGGCTGCTGCGGGACATTACGGACATCGCATTGGCTAGATCGCCGGTCACGGAGTACCTGGATGAAAATAGGGGAAAGAGGCGTCGCTCCAACGCTTGCACTGTATGCTCATGGGTGCCATTGAGGATTTCTTTCAGTAATGCTTTACTGCCGTGTAGAGTAGAAGTGGAGAAATCATAGAGAGTTATTGGTGGCAGGCGTTTAGGTGGCGTCTTTGGTGTCTTCTTGGTGTCTTGTTGGTGTGTACTATGTTGTGCTTGGTGGGCAATAGTTCCATCTTATCCGATTATCTGATCATCTGATAACCTCGATCCGACCGAGCATCCACCCAATCACTTGGGCTGCACGGTGGCATCGCGAATTTCGCTTGCATACAAACCTGCCCTAGTCCACAGTTCGCTCCTTGGCTCACTTCCCTGCGCCGTGAATGCGACATTTTTCACATTTTTCACACTTTCTAGCTGTTCCTGCGCAATCGGCCCTCGGCTTGTTAAGGTCCATCGACTGCAGAAAAAGTCCAGACTAGGCCCAACTATGCAGCTGCTAAAGCGGACCGCTCGGCAACAACCCCCTGGAAGTGGTTCTCGACAGCGAGGATCACAGCATGTGGACATGGATACGAGCACGATGTTGCCCTTGAGCATCTTGCGCTAACGAATCAAGCTTATATTATCGTTTTCGATGGGGTACATGTATAAGTCAACCACCTGTCTTCCGCCCTCGCTGTCTGCCAGTTCCCCGAGGTTTACACGCATCCTCCTTTCGCTTTGTCTGTGTGCATGGAAGCTGGCTGCATTGAGACGTAGATCTTGCCTGATCCCGATATTGTCAATATCTACAACATAATACATTCAAATCCTAGTATTCGACTGCAAGATGAAGTACCTTGCCACCCTCCTTGCTGCCGCAGGCTTTGTTGCCGGTGTAGCCCTTGAGGATTACTTCCCGCAATGCTCCATTGATTGCTTGGTCGACGGCGTCGAGTCCGCAACAAGCTGCGATCCTAATGATGGTGTTTGCGTCTGCGTGTTCGACAACTATGTTGTCATTGTTGATGCTGCTACGGCTTGCGTGATGCAGGCCTGCGGATCTGACGTTGCAGTCAGTAAGTAGAACTCCTTCCTTGTCTTTCAATTAGGTTCATCAACTTCACGTCAATGCCTTGTAGACAATTCTAATCCCCAAACTCAGATACCGTGCTTCCGGCTGCTGCCGATTTCTGCTCCGCCGTCAGCTCCAGCGCCAGTTTGGCCCCAGCCACATCAACCGCCGCCGGCGGTGCCGCTTCTACATCTGCCTCCGCTGTCACGACTTCTGTTGAGACATCTCCGACCGCTGCTGCTACAGGAAGCTCATCCGGCTCTGAAGTTACCTCGGCACCAACCACTGCCAGCGCCCAATCTACTGCTGCCCCTAGCACCACGGCATCTCCGGCGGGTGCTGCTGACTCTCGTCCAGCTGGTATCGTTGCTATGCTGGCCCTGGGAGCCCTTGCGGCCTTTTAAGCAAACTACAGCTTTATCGCTTTTGGACAATCCTTGGACAGTCGACCAGCAAATTGTAATCATACTCGAGTGTAGCACCAGCCTCCGATCATCCTCACGTTCAGGATATCACTATAACTTAGACAAGTACTGAAGTAGACGAAAGGATTGAAGATGCGGCTCACACATTGTATTATATAAGACCAATCGGCCAGGATGCGGGAGACGATAGGATGATAACAACGCTCTCCGGCTTTTCATATGGGAGTGTTAGGTTGATACACCAACTGATTTAAGCTACTTCAGTGCCTGCATGAATCGTCGTTACTATCTTCATTTTTCTTCATCTGCCGCCTCTATACTATGATTTGCGATAACCACAAGACAAGCCAATGATTACTGTTCACAGTCGCTTCACCCATGCCTTAGCTCGTATGTACCCTAGTTCAGGAGTATGCATTGACTTCATTTGTGTATCTTCGTGGATTTTGGTACATTTATCCGGTAGAAGCTTATGATAGTTTAATAATATATCTCGTTTTGTACTCTCAGTTGGCTTTAACCTCGAGAGCTCTCGCGTAAGATGTCACGAACTGTTCGTGGAGATAATCTTTCAAAGTCAACGGGACATATTCACCCTGATTCAATGGCGGCCCAAAGGTCTTGTCAGCCGTATCCTTTCGAACCTCACATCCAGGTACGACATCAAGGATTTCCTTGGGATTTCCATTGAAGAAGAATGGTACTGAATATCGATGCTTGCCCGAGTAGTTCATCACTCGGTGTGTATTTGACGTATAGTGATGATTGGTCCAGCGCATTATAGCATTCCCGAGATTGACCACAAACGCTCCGGGCACAGGTGTGACGTCTAGCCACTCTCCAGTCTTCTCATCCTGCACCTGCAAGCCACCTGTGTCGTCTTGTAACAGAATGGTCACGCAACCAAAATCGCGATGCGCCCCGACTCCTCTCTCATTCTCGCCTGTAGTAGGTGTTGGCGGGTAGTGTATAAGACGGAGGGTACAGCTTGGATCAACATTTATGAAATCGTCAAACCAATCTTCTTTCAGTCCTAGACCAAGAGCAAGTGTTCTCATGACATCTTTGGCTAGATCTCGTGCGCTATAGTAGTAGTCCATGCACGCATTCTGGAAAGTCTGGCCAAGGCCATCGGGATAGAGATTTGGCCCACAGTTGAATTCTCCTGCTTGTACTCTGGGATGATCTTCTGGCAAATCTTCGCCAAAGTATACTGCCTCTTTCGTATCCGGCTTTGTGCCAGGCTCTAGCATCTGCGCGCCGATCTGTTCATAGCCTCGATGGTATTTATTCGTTGAGAGGTGACACTTCATCTTCTCTTCCAAAGGTAGGTCAAAGAACATTTTGGCTGCAGCAAGAATCTCATTTTGTTGCTCGGGTGAGATATTTGTGTTGGTTAATTGGAAGAACCCCTTGTCTCGGCAAGCCCTGTTGATGTCCTCGACAAGTCTGGCGCGGGCAATTGGATCGGAACCCCGAAAGGCTATGCAAGTTTATGTAAGAGCATGCCTCTGTTGACTGGCCGATCAAGGTCTGAACATACCAGAGAAGTCAAGAACAGGAGGTGCATTTGACGAAGAGTCCAAAGAGGCCATCATGCTGGATGCGAATGTTCAAATGATGCAAAGCTTACGGCAATACTGATAAAACACAATTTAGAGCTGGCGTCGATCGAATACCACTCTTAGTCCGAGTATCCACTAGGACGATGCGCAAAAGCTCAGCTACGTAGCGTTGAGGCTGAAGGTGTCAGAAGTATCAGCCTACGATAAGGATAAGTGTCTCCAGTTGTTGGCCCGAGATCCAAAAATCTTCTTCGTTCGAGGCTAAGATCTCGGCGCTCGCCGCTATCTGTTCATCACAAGTGCATCAGACATGGAAGGACAGTGGAATCTTAAAATGTAAGAGCAGTCGGTCCATGGTTATAGATAACGTCCTAGAGAGACTTTGGCAACTCGGCCGACCCGCTTATCAGCACTTGATGAGCCACCTACATTCACTAATAGTGTTCAGTGTTTGCTTGCAATAACCAATCGAACCAAACGCAAACGATGTATGGCAAAGAAATATCTGATGCCAAACTCGATGGGAGAATTGACTTTTAAAAGTACCTCACTAATCTTTCAACATTAATTGTGTCCCCGAGAATATCGCGTTAGACCGACCAAATTACATTATCGAGAAAGCCAACAGAACCAATCTTCGCGGGTAATCGAGCTTCAAAGACGTTCCGTAACAAGTCTCTCTCATTAGACTTCAAATCTTTGCATTACACCAAAGACAACCTCGTCAACACGGTACTTCAGAGGCTCCTACACGCTTTCTGCTGTCTTGCAGAAGCAAGCATCGAACAAGCTAAACTTCATGACAATGAGGTCTATCTAGAAGGGCAGAGCTCGGCCGGGCTTCTATGCGGGGTTGACACAGGGTCACATGCAGGCCGTGCATGTCACAGATAACAGATACAAAGCATGCGAAGAGCGCATAACAAAAATCCAGATAAACGCGTTGGAACTCCCCGCGGAGCATCCTACGCGGAGTTACCTTTATCGCTTCTAGGATGTGCACGGGGTTGCTTTATGGGGAGCATTTGGACCGGACTGTGTTAGTCTTCAAGCTACAGACTGACACATAGGTGCTAGTCGAGTCGCTCTACCAATGACCTTATCTTGATTAACCAAAGCTGATAACACCAATGCTCTACGTATCTTCACCCGGATAGAGTCTATCTAATTTCCCTATCTCGGTTCGGCTCACGGGGATCTCCAAAGGTTGGTAGCCGATATGTATAAGGTCATACACTTCCGACCTTTCCCCCGAATGCAGGCGTGGTGTCACTGTGACGGACTCATATCTCGAAATCTGTGGCAGCCGCATTGACACCTGCACACAATGGTACGACCAATCTCCGGCGGCAGAATGGAAGCTGTCAAAGCTGCTCTTAGCAGCAGAGAAGCTTTCATCAAAGCCATCGAGACGAAGAAGGATGCCGCTGGCGACATCGTCGAGCGCAATCCCTGGAAGAATGAGGATCTCGACATCAGTCCGCCAAAGGATCGGACTTGGGGTTGGTACGACTACGCCTCCTTTTGGACCACCTATGGAATAAACCCCGGCACTTGGAATGTGGGATCTGCCCTGATCGCAATTGGCCTCGTCCACTGGCAGGCGGTGATTTGCATTTTCTTTGGCTACCTGTTCGGCGCCATAGGCATGGTGCTTCACTCACGCTCCGCATCCGTCTATCACTTCGGTTTCCCTGTAGAGAGCCGTATACCATGGGGTCTCCGCGCGTCCTACTTCCCCATCCTGCTGCGCGTTATGACGGCCCTTATTTGGACTGGTGTATCGATCATGTCAGGCGGCTTCCACACGGCAGTCTTCCTGCGCTGTATCTTTGGAGACTCGTTCTGGCTGATGAAGAACACCATTCCCGAGAGTGCAGGCATTACCCTTCCGGACTTTGTTGGCCTCATGGTCTACTGGATTCTGACATTTCCCCTGCTTAATGTACCGATCCCCAAGTTTAGGAGATGGATAGAAGCTGAGGCTTTCCTAATGCCATTTGCAATTTTCGGTAAGCCTGGTTGAACCTTGAACCTATACAGCTATTGTTTGTTACTGATAACAGGTAGGCTTGTTTATATATTGCATGGTAACAGCCAAGAGTGCCCCTGAGCGGCCTCTTTCGACTGGAGCCATGCACGGTTCAACGCTCGGCTGGGCTATTGTGAGTGGACACTATGGTCACTTCAAGAAACAACGGCTTACAAATGCTTTTAGGTTGGTGGTATAAACTCCATCATGGGCAAAACATCTACATTGGTCATTAACCAACCTGATATTGCTCGCTATGCGCGCAGCACCAAGTCGCCGGTTCTGTCACAACTCATTGCTTTACCTATAATGAACACCGCCGGTGCTACACTAGGCATTTATGCCACAGCGAAGATGTATAATCTCTGGGGAAATGTGGATTGGAATCCGTACGTCTTTTCTAGCAAGAAGTAAAGCTTTGCATGAGATCTAACACGATTCAGGTGGATCCTCGCACACGATATCCTCGACCACAGGTGGGGCCCGGGTGCACGCGCTGGACTTGCTATATGCAGTGCTTTCTTCATGTTTGCAAATGCCATCGGTGATATGGGTGCGAATATCATCCCGTTCGGAGCGGACTTCATGACTCTATTCCCACGGTGGCTCAATATTAGACGTGGAATGTGGGTGGCTTACCTACTCGGTGTTTGTATATGCCCCTGGCACATTTTGGCAAACGCCTCCGGCTTCCTCACTTTCCTTGGGGGTTACAGCATCTTCCTGGGACCTTTCCTCGGCATTTTCATCACAGATTACTTCGTTATCCGTAAAGGAAATATTTTCGTCCGCGATCTTTACACGCCAGAAGGTCGATACTGGTATTTCGCGGGCGTCAATTGGCGTGCCGTCGTTGCATGGGTCATTCCGGTTGCCTTTGTCGTAAGTCTTGCATGAACCTTTGGAAAGATCATTGGAAGCTGATTCAGAGCTCTAGATCCCGGGATTTGCCACATCATTCGGTAATGAGTTGGTAGGACAGACTGGCTGGGTTCATTTGTACAAGTTCAGCTGGTTCTTCGTCTGCACGATTGCCAGCATTTTATATTACGCCTTGTCCTTCATTGGCGAATACGCAAAGGAGGAGCGTGCAATGCCGTTCGAGGCACTTGCGCTTGAACAGATTGAAGTGCTGAATGGACAGACACCAACCGAAGTGGGATCAGAAGTCAATGTTACTGTTGAGACCAAGGTTTAGTCACCGAGAGTACAATGTTTGTAGTCTGTAGTCTGTTTTCATTTAGCATCGGGAGGGCTAGTGATCAGTTGTACTGGAATTCAGCGAACGTGCCATGACTTTCACGAAGATAAATTACATCTATGGTTGCAACAATTGTGTGAGCACTTCTAGTAAAAGGAACAAAAACTGTAATGACTCGTTCGCCAGTCATAATTCCGCGGTACAATCTGCGGGATTATTAGTCTTGCGGGTTTATGTGTTTGAAGTGGCTGAATGACGCCATCACAGCTACGCGAACCGATCTTCAACTTTTGTTAATTGAATTTTCCTGGTTCGATGCTTGTGATCCTAATGGCTGCTATCAAAAGGTTGAAGAGTTTTGCTGCGGTCAGTGCCCGTGCTGAATGTCCGCGATTTGCGCCATTGTAGCTGACTGGGAGGAGGCGGCTGACATCACAACCCAATTGAAGCTCCTCGAGGCTGCTTTAGAGCACCAAGCTAGGGCCGTTAGGGGACTCATGGCGGGCAGGCCGCCTTGGCTACACACGGGGGACCGATTGCGCGATCGCGCCGCTCTCCACCGTCATCCCCCATTTTTCTTTCCGTTAGGTAAAGGTGATCACCAATGCGGCCGTTATTTGTCTCGTTTCGATGCGGCAACATGGGGAGCTGTGGGTAGCTCCCGTGCTTTAGTACCAAGTGTTTGGGGTACCGAGAGTAATACCGCAAGAGCTTGGCCTAGCTCTTATCAGTTGATAAAGATGGCATCATCCCACGACTTTCTGTTTTTCTCTTGTCATACTTTTCTGCGTCGTTGCCGTGCGGAGCTCATGATCGACTGTATTCACGATTTAATTTGCACCTAGCCACTGAACAGCCAGTACTACCCAACACTCTGGTCGAATTACAACTGACACCCAACATGTCTGGTGTGCGCAAAGACGACGACGACGTCTACGACCGGCAAGAGGCCGCGCTAGACTCCCCGTCCGGTGACGAAAGCGACTTCAGAGCCATTGACCCGCATAGCGGTGTCAAGCGAGGGCTTAAAACGCGACATCTATCAATGATGGCTTTGGCCGGGATCATAGGCCCCGGCCTGCTTGTCGGCTCTGGTGGTGCATTGGCCTCCGGTGGCCCAGCGTCTCTTGTTATAGGGTTCGGAGTCATTGGCATAATTGCATTCAGCATCATGCAGAGCCTCGGCGAACTTACGACGCTGTATCCCAGTGGCGGCGCTTTCACGGCATTGGCAGATCGGTTCGTGGACAAGGCCTTCGGTGTGGCGGTTGGTTGGAACTATTACATTATCTGGTTCGCCGTGCTCTCTAATGAGTACAACACCATCTCGAGCATTTTCGTCTTCTGGAGCGATAAGGTGCCTTTGTGGGGGTACTTCTTGATCTTTTGGGTGAGTCTCCGTCCTTATCTCGGAGACAGGCGACCAATTGGTCCTCCGGGGTTAAACACTGTAAGAACGGCGCTGACCGATAATCTGCCGATAGTTTGCGTTCTTCGGCTTTCAACTTCTCGGCGTAGAAACGTTTGGCGAAGCCGAGTTTTGGCTTGCTTTATTGAAATTGGGCGGGCTGGTTGCCTACTTTCTCTTTTCCATCATGTAAGTCTCGTCCGATCCAGAGACTGAAAGCTGCGAGAGCATTAGATTGATTTGAATCATCATAGATATGTCTCCGGAGGAATTCCCGGCGCACCTGCTATCGGCGGCAAGTACTGGCACGACCCAGGTGCTTTCGTCTCAGGATTCCGCGGTGTAGCCACCGTCTTCGTGTTTTGTTCGACTTTCTACGCTGGGGTCGAGTCCGTCGCAGTCGCCGCTACAGAGACTAAGAATCCTCGGGTCGCCGTGCCCCTCGCTATTCGCCAGGTCTTCTGGCGCATCATCTTCATCTACATGGGGTCAGCTATCTTCTTCGGATTGACATGCCCAGCCAACGCTACAGGCCTCATTAAGGCGGGCAGCAGAGCACTCAAGAGCCCAATGACAATAGCCATTCAAAATGCTGGGTGGGAGTCCGGCTCGCACCTGATAAACGCCTTCATTTTCGTCACCTGCCTGAGCGCTGTGAATAGCTCTATTTATATTGGCTCGCGAACTCTGCTTTTCATGGCTCAAGATGGTAAGGCTCCCAAATTTCTTGGGTGGACTGACTCTCGTGGAGTTCCAATCCCAGCCATCGTGTTCACCAACGCATGTGGTGCGCTGAGTATGATGAACGTCAGTACTGGTGCCGGTCAAGCTTACAGCTACATTGTCAATCTGAGTGGCGTCTCCACGTTTCTGGTCTGGGGCGCCATCTCGTTCACTCACATCCGCTTCCGACGAGCTTGGAAGGCCCAGGGATATAGCGTCAACGATCTCCCATTCGTCTCATACCTCTATCCATATAACGCTTATTTCGGCCTTGGAGCAAACATATTCCTGGCGCTCATACAGGGCTGGACAACACTCTCGCCTTTCAACGCTGGCAACTTCGTCGATGCATATATCTTGCTGCCATTGTTTCCAATCATTTACTTCGGATACAAGTTCGTGTTCAAAACAAGGTACTGGAGGTTGCACGAGATTGACCTCCAGTCGGGACGACGACGAGATCTTGAGGAGGCGAAGGAGGTTGCTGAGGGTGATTTTGATAACGTTCCTCGACCGTGGTGGAAGAGACTTATGCGAAATTTCTGATTGCGGATGATGAAAGCCATTGCTCTTGGCTTGCACTTCAAGATACCCCATATAGCATGATATCTGTCCATTTTATAGAGAAACAATGAATAACAGGCTTGTTTTGGATTTTGTCGATGTTTGCCATAGCGTTCTAAGCCAGCGGCACCAAAATATCACTGGCCCACTAACCTTCACTTGGCAGCCCCGCCAATTGCTTTTCACTCTTGCCCCTCAGTACTCCATCGAGATTTCGTCAGTAACACCTTGGAAAGTCGTGAGAATCTTTCCTTCCAATCCTCACATATCACGGCTATTTGACGCTGGAAACACCACGTGATTGACTCCATAGCGTAAGGACGACGTCAACTTTGGGACAACGTCAGCAAGCTACGTCAGAACTACATATTGAATCCACGCGACTTCTCGACCTCCTCGGTGGAGAAGAAGCGTCGACAGCTAGGCGTGGCCGAACGAAAATGGCTTCACCAGAGGCATTAGGTTGGTCTCTCACAGGTCACCTGCTTGGTTTGAATCAAGCAGAGTTCAGGACCGCGACGGAATCGCCTTTTCTTCTCGCTGCTGGACAAGGCCGCCTTTCGAAGGACATCCTCGGGAGATGGCTTGCCAATGACCGGCTTTACATCCACGCATACATTAAGGCTGTAGGGCGCACGTTATCCGTGATAGACCTTCCGCAGGTCACCACAGCCACAGAGAGTGCAGAGACCCAGTTGGTAGACTGGCTCTTCAAGTCCTTGACGGAGCTGCGGAGAGAAGAACGGTTCTTCATCGATGTGGCTAGGCGGTACGGGCTGTCCATCGATTTAGAAGCGACCGCGGTAACGGAAGGTGGACTGGAAATCAAACGCGTGCCTGGCACCGCTAAGCTCCCTGGCCTTGTGATGTTTGAGCGGCTCTTTGGCTCCCTTCATCCCGCATCGTCAATAGACAGGGACCTTCCGCTCCCTTGGCTTGAGGCTGCCATTGTGTTCTGGGGCACAGAAAAGGTCTACTCGGAAGCATGGACGTGGGCCAAATCCAAGCAAGATCCTAGAAGCGACGGAAGCAACGACGCTGACGGAGGTGCTTTGAGGAAGGAGTTCGTGCCCAACTGGGGCAATGAAGGATTTTCGGCTTTTGTCGACCAATTGGCCGCTATCATTGATGGATCTGTTCAAAAAGCAACAGAAAAGCTTGGCGGTGACCCCAAAGAGCTGTTTGTGAATCGAGTCGAGGCAATCTGGAATGATCTGCTAGCAGCCGAGGCTGCCTTTTGGCCGAAGCTGGACTAGAGCCTCATATCATGTAGTTTGAACCGACTACTAGTCGTCAAAAAGACAGACTGAATAAGACTATGCTATGACTTGAGCTCACAGCCTCGATGGAAGTCATCTCTGTACATCTGAACGTGCGGCTCGCATATAACAGCCAATGAGTGCCACGAATCATTCAAGATCGGCCTCGAGACCAAACCCCAATTCTGATACCGGCTTCTTAAAAGGTCCATGGTATGCAAAAGTCCCTCCTGGGGACGATACCCTATTTGCTACGATTGATGCAGTCAAGCACGGACAGCGGCGTAGATTATTTGCTCGCCATTTCAGCAACAGTTCCATCAAGAGCAATTGGAGTTCTGATATCTGGAAGAAGGTTGAGTTCGCGGTTTCCAAGATCAAGAGGGATACAATTACAGGCAAGGCAGATATTTGTGGTTTACGCTCATGACGATAGACATGGGTTGCCCAGCTGTCACTTGGCGAGACTTTAAGTACGTTGGAGAATGAGAAGGTGATATATTCCTCTCCCGATTGGTCATTCAACTACTAAAGGATCCAGAAATCCGAGTACGTTGACGCATTGCAGCTGATCGCCATTGTTTACTTCGATGTCAACACATAAACAGATAAGAATCGACATTCCCTTTAACCTCAATAATGCTACTGTAACAAATCAATTGGTTATTCGAACGCTACTACAACCCAATGAAAGCTTGTCCTTAGTATCGTGCCATGATAGGTCTCATATCTTAGCTTGTTAGTCAAGACATTCAGGCAGCTCAAACATCGACAACCTAAGCCGTGATCTCCTGCGAGAGTCGATTTTTTTTGTCCACTGAATAAGTCGTAAAAAATGGCTTATCTGCGGGATCTCGGCCAGGTCCGGTCAAGTGAAACTAAGAGCGGCAATAGGGTCACTCGTAAGATGAGTGAGGTGGCAGTAACTCGACGAGCAGCCCCATTCCTAGTATCGATTTTGAACACCCCACATCGGCTACAAACTCCCGAACCCTTGTGGGTGTATCGAAGCCATGTGTTCCCCCTCCTGCTCCAAAAGGCAACTGCTGATCATCACCGCTCTTGGCGTTATACCTTGTTAGCCTTATCAAATACTCGGTAGGATTTTATACCGTCCCCCTCATTGTGGTTGTAAGAGCATGACGTGCTCGCGACGTGCAGCACGCAAATTTCGCAAAGATAGATATAGGGTTAATAGAAGCTTGCTGTTCCTTTGCGAACTCTCAGCACCTGAGCCACATGATTTATTTACTTTACAGCGAGAGTTGTGGTCCGTCCTAGTCAACCAGCACATTATGGCTGATAAACAATCTGAAGCCGCGGACGACGCTGTTCGCCCTGTTCACAACAATGCTCTCTCGGGAATACCCGAAAAGGGCGGTTCTGTGACGTCTTCGAGAGATCTTGACGATACATATGATTTATACAAACGGCAGGATGCAACTCAAATTGATCCTCTAGAAGCGAAGCATGTCTTGAGAAAGATTGATTTACATCTTTTACCGCTTCTAATGATGACCTATATGCTCCAATTTCTAGACAAACAAAGCATTAATTTCGCTAGTGTTTACGGCCTCAAACAAGGAACTAAGCTACATGGCCAAGACTATTCATGGCTCGGCTCGATATTTTATTTCGGCTACCTCTTCTCGCAGTATCCAGCTGGGTACCTTCTACAACGACTACCGATAGGCAAATTCATTGGAGGAACTACAATGGGTAATTGAGCCAGCCTTTTACGATAGAACAATCTGACAGATTGTAGTATGGGGTATCCTAATCCTCACCACTCCGGCGTGCAAAAGCTTTGCAGGTATAGCAGCAAATCGATTTCTGCTTGGAGTGTTCGAGGCAGTCGTCAACCCTGGTTTTGTGCTCGTCATGGCTATGTGGTATCAAGGAGCTGAACAGCCTCTGCGTCTGGTGACTTACTACTCCATGAATGGTGTGGCAGGCATCTTTGGCGGGCTTCTAGGGTATGCCATTGGACACATCACCTCAGGCCTACCGCAATGGATGTACGTCTTTTTGATTTTTGGATCAATCAGTTTCGTATGGGGGATTGTATTTTTGATTTTCATGCCGGATCTGCCTTCATCAGCTCGCTTTTTAAATGAGCGTGAAAGGATTGTTGCGGTGGACCGAGTCGCTGTCAACAGACAGGGGGTCAAGAATCATCACTTTAAGAGATACCAAATGTGGCAAACTATACGGGACCCAAAGACATGGATACTCTTCATCATGTCGATTGCAGCTCAAATACCCAATGCAGCCCAGACCAGCGTATGTTGAATCCGGTTTTCCTTGCAGTACCCAATATCGACAAAGAAGAAAATAACCTTTACTCATGTAATGATAGTTCACATCCATCATCCTCCAGACATTTGGATATGACGTTTTGCAAACCCAATACATGCAAATACCGGGCTCAGTTGTTCAGATTCTCTCACTGATGGCATCCGGTTACATAAGCTCACGATTTCCGAATATGAGATGCATCACCATGATAGTCGGTAACCTTGTTTGTGTAGTATGTGGTGGAGTACTTGTGGGTTTATCTCCTGGAGATGATGGCACGAAGAATCGATGGGGACGACTTGTTGCTCTGTGGCTCTGTTCATTCCAGTCCGTTGGGTTCAGTATGAGCTTGACCATGGTCAGCAGTAATGTCGCGGGATACACGAAAAAGCAACTCACTGGGGCTTTCTTGTTCGTGGGATATTGCGTGGGCAATATCATCGGTCCCCAGACATTCATCGATACTGAAGCGCCTCTCTATCATTCCGCCTACATTGCGTAAGCATGCGTTCCATTTAACCAGAGGTCGCTTGACGAGAAATCGCTAACGCATGTCCTATATAGTATATTAATCGGCTATTCAGTAAAGACTTTGATGGTAATCATTCTGTTTGCATACATGTGGACAGTAAACAAGAAACGGGATCGAGAGATGGCAGTACTCGGTCCTGAATTATTGGCGCAGCAAGAGAAAGAGGCTATTGAACGGGGATTTCATGACATGACGGAGATAGACAACGTGGGCTTCCGCTACGTCCTTTGAGGTAACCCGGACCTTTTACGTCCTGAATGGGCCTCGAACATGAGAAAAGAGAACAGTAGTTGGAGGAAGGCAGAAATACGCGAGTGCAGATGTGCGAATGATCCCAGAGCAAATCTGTGGCATTTGAGCCACGTTCTCTTTCGCCTAAGTGATCCACGGGAGATCACCATATTCAGCATAAGCTTGCGATGGCGATGCTTCGTGTTAGACAAATTACCCGAAACGGGCCTTTCTTGGCTGTTTTACTTGCTAATTCTCCGACGAGCTTAGACCAAGAATTGAGGCTTTTGGGTAGCACAGGAGGTTCGTGATTATGCCAAGCTTTATTCCATTACAGCCAAGACTGATGCGCGACAAGCATTGACACTCGTCGCTGTTTCGCTCCCTTCTACGAAATAATTGACATTGAAGTTGCGATTGGCTAACAGACTGTCACTGTTTGCTTCACGCGTAGTTAGAACCCAAATCTCAAAACAAATCGTCTCTGTGTGAATGAGGCTGTGTGCGGGCCGAGGATTGTCATTAAATTGTCTGTGAAGCGGTATACCCAAAAACTATATAAATTATAGAGAAATCCCTTCAGTTATCTGGTCTTCCGCGCTGCAAATTCGACTGAAGCAGAACACCTGCTCTTTCCAAGCACCTGTCTTCTATTTTTAAGCTATCTTATATTTCTTCTTTGTTGCCCTGGAGGCGTCTTGATATAACTTACGTCCTGTAAACATGGCAATTTCTGTTACCATTTTACTGGCTTATTTGGTCGTACATGCTTCATCACATGGCGTAGTGACCAAGATCACCGGTGCTAATGGCGTAGAAATGCCCGGCTTGTCAGGTTGGTTCATCAATAATATTCCCATGATGTCATCCGCAGGAACATAGTTGCTGACTTGTCATAGTTGCTGATGGCACGCCTCGGGACTGCTCTTCTAATGGTTGTGGCTCTCAAGCAGACACGGCCATCATTCGCGATAGAGAGATCAATAGTGGTGAAGTTGGACCTCTGGGCCGAACCCAAGGCAATGGGCCCATCGATGCCGCTACGATGATCCAGAGTTTCATGGGTGCTGCCTCTGCGCCAACCAACAATGGTAGTGGAGTAGGTGTGGAAGATGATCTATCTGGCACACCTGTCGCGTCCAAAGCTAGCAAGAACGCTGCCCGAGGCAAATCAGCCCCACGACAACTGGGTCGGCTCGCCGGTGGTCTCGCCGGGCTGTTTGGTGCCGGCGGTGATGGCGATAAGAACACTGGACCTCCTGAAAGCAATGTTGCAGCCACTGCCGGCACAGGTGCCACCGAGGGCCTGCCTACCTGTGCTGACGACGGCACTATCACCATGACCTACCGTCAGGTATGCCTCATGCACACTACTGCTCGCATATTCAATAGACTGACTCATTCTCATCAGATCAACCAAGATGGTGCTGGCCCTCTTGAGGCCATGGTCGACGGCACCTCTGGTGGCACTGATATGTCTGCCTTCCAAAACGCCGAGGTGACCCAGGATGTTCCAGGGCTTGGTATTCAGGGCCTGTCTCTGGCCACCACAACAGATTTTCCACTCCAGGTACAAATGCCAGCAGGAATGACTTGCGATGCGAGCGTTGGCGGGGCTGACAATGTCTGCGTTGTACGCGTGAGGAATGGCGCAGGTGCTGGTCCCTTCGGCGGAAGCGCCGCTTTCACTCAGAGCCCGGCAGCACGTAAACGTGCACTCGCATATCGTATGAGAAAACGTATGGAGGTTGCTTTCAAGGCGTGAGGGAAAAGGACACAAATGGAGGCAGTTCAGAGGCTCCTGGTGGGTCACTGTAGAGTATTGATCTATAGCCGAATAATATATCTGTTATGCCACACGCCTCTTTGTAGATGAGGGTAGAATACGACTGCGAGTATTGAGCAATTTTTCTCCGGTAGCTCATGTGTGCAGGGTTGTTGGTTGGATAGCTGCCTTCATAAACATTCATTCGTTTGACCAATGTGTGAAGGCGAAGTTGCGTATGATCGCGAACGAGCTACCAAACACATATAAAGAGCACCGTTCAGGGATGCAAAAAAAAAAAAAAAAGGTAGCTTCGTTGTCCCGCTGTCGAGCACCAGAGTACACGGCACTGGGGTAAAGGACGTATCCTAAACAATGGCAGATGCAAATTACCAGTGACCTCGACACCCATCCCCAGACTAGCTGGGGTAGCGCAAATATTGCCCAGCCCCGGGATCGAACCGGGGTAGCGCGCAGATAACTGAGTTATCCGAATGACCATTACGCCATCCTGTCTGAAGCTCCTATCATACCCTCTCTTGTGATATTCATCGCGGTTAGTTCGATATATAAGGGTTTCCTTTGGCGTGTGGGATATGCACAGGATACAAGCCATCATCTCAAACTGACCCGAGCCTGATAGGATGACGACCACGCAGATTCATCTATAAGCACATGATCAGATAATTCTCACTTCAGAGCTTTTGCCTCACTTACCTCGTTTGTTTACCCAAATTAGCAATTATAAGTGCCGTAGTCTGCCCAAGGTATACCTACCAAGCACTACCGACCTACCGTTGCTTACCCCATCGCCCTCCCACCCATTATAACCGCGTTGATTACCTTAAGGACCATCTCCTACCCACGTTTATTACCTAAAGATCGCCGCACAGCAGTCCTCACAAAGCAGCCATGACATCGCATCCGCGCCACCAAATTCCCGAGCTGCTGCCCCGTGCGGGCTTTATCTGGCCCCCCAGCCGGCAGCTGCTCTCCAACAGGATCCGAAACCGGCGGCTGGCGCGCGCCTTGACCGGGGCTGGGATCTCGCTGAAGCGAGATGAAGTGGAAGCCGCACTTGCGGCCATCTTCGACATCGCCAAGGATCAGCATGAGCAAGGTGCTCTACGCGCTGCCGAGACGGTGCCGTACTTCCTCGCCGGCATCCGCCGGCTTATACCATTCGCCAACGGGCTAGATGAAGGGGTGTTCATAGATCTCTTCACGTCACTGCGTAACGGCCGCAGAGAGTGGCATGCCAACCCCCGGCCCCCTTTCGACGTCACCACCCATGGCCCGCTGGCCAAGGCCATTGATGCCTTCAACTCTGCGGCGGCTCAAGACTGGAATGAGACAGAAGTTGAGCTCTTTGAGCTTGTTGGGGGATATTCAGACGCCGAAAGCGAGGGGGATGCCATGGAGATAGACGAGGATCAGGAGCAGACTGGGGCCCTTACCCAACAGGCGGCCCAGCCGCAGGAAACCCGATCTCCGGAGCATATCGCCCGTCTACTTAAGCAGCTGCTCGCCAACCACGAGGCAGATAAATCCAAGGCAGCGGTGGATAAGGTGACGAAGGATTTCGAGGATATGGATTTGGACGAGGACGATGGTGAGTTAGATCGATTCCTCTTAATTGAGGCTTTAGCAAAGCGACGTTGGAGCTGTGGCTGTGTGATGACTAAGCTGAACTTTACATGGACAGGGACTCGCCAAGGCTAATCTACTATCACGTTAGAGACCCTCCGGGGGGATAACCGGATAACACTACCTACTGTAACAACCAGCTTTCCTCCTGATCACCTTTTCCCCAATATCTGCTATGCTGACTATCTCTTCTAACAACTAGGCTGGCGATTGTTGAAGTCTTGTTTTGTTCTATTACTTGATGTCTTTCCTTATTCGAACGTTCTTTAGCCCGCATTCCCTTACAATCACTGTTTCGTAATCCCAATCCCCGTACCACGCCAGCCCAGCCCGAATGCTCGTTCCCACGACGAATCTTCCCATTATCAACTCCCTCCTACGAGGCCATCGCGATGGCGCCAGACAAGAATCAGAGATACGACCCGGTCCCTCCAATTCCTACCTACGATGAAGCCGTTGCGGGGGATAGCCGCTCTGCCTTTGAGGGCGATTGGGAGCAAGATCGGGATCATCTTGCACTATCACCGGTCGACGAGCACTCTCATAGCGAATTCGAGTCAGAAGGCCTATTAAACACGCGAGGAGCTTCTAGCGCGACTCATCCGACATCCTCCGCGCGACCACGACGAGCAGGTGGCTATCGGGCCCCGACGGTAGAATCCGACGATGAGGACAGCCACTGGGATTCGGCCTCAGACGATGATGCGACGGAAGCAGCGCATGTGCGGCGAGAGATGCAAGAGCTCGAGATGATGGACCCCGATGACGACGATCACGCACGTAATTTATCCTCCATATGGGGCAAACGAATGCCTTTCTCATTATCTCTACCCAAATGGAAGTGGTCTTGGCGATGGCGACTTCCGCGCTTCCGAGTTCGTCTTGGCGAGAACGCAGAGACAACCGACAACGAAGAAACGCCGAGACGACGTTTTTGCCTACCAGTGAACTCCACAGCAGCTTTCTTGATCGTTGGACGAGTGTTTGCGATACTCCTTGTACTCGGATTCCTCTATTTGCTATTTATGAGCGATCTCTTTGCGAATATGGCACGTCGATTAGGGAGCCAGATGTTCGACCCCGAGAGCGTGCGAATACATGTCCAAAGTAATGTCGACCCCCACAGGATACGCGAGAATTTGAAACACTTCACATCATATGCACACATCGCTGGCACGGAGGGTGACTATGCGCTGGCCACAGACGTGAAGAACATATTCACCACTTATGGCCTGGAAGACGTGTCCGTAGATGAGTATTATGTCTATCTCAATTATCCGAAAGAGGGAGGCAGAGCTGTTGAGATCCTGGGGAAGGACGGGAAGCCGACTTGGGCCGCGAAGCTTGAGGAGGACGAGAGAGGTGAGGAGACAGCAGGGCACCAGACATTCGTATTTCATGGTCACTCCAAGTCTGGCGATGTCAAAGGACCGTTAATCTATGCCAATTATGGATCCAGAGAAGACTTCAAGAGGCTTGCCGACAGTGGAATTGAGACAAACGGAGCGATTGCGCTTGTGAGGTACTACGGCACGCAGACGGACAGAGCTCTGAAAGTGAAGGCTGCCGAATTAGCTGGATTTGCGGGGTGCATTATCTACAGCGATCCAGCAGACGATGGATTTCTCAAAGGCAACGTCGCACCCAATGGAAGATATATGCCCGCCGATGGAGTTCAACGAGGCGCTGTCAGTTTGATGAGCTGGGTTGTCGGAGATGTCTTGACCCCAGGCTGGGAGAGCAAGCATAATATGCCACGAATGAAGAAAGAAGAAAGTCCCGGTCTCGTCCAGATACCAAGTCTTCCTCTAGCGTGGCGCGATGCGCAAGTCATGCTACAGCACCTTAAAGGTGTCGGTCAGAAATGCCCTGATGACTGGGTTGGTGGTGTACCAGACATTGGTGAATGGTGGACCGGCGATGCTTCATCGCCTATTGTGCGCTTGAAGAACGAACAGGACGAAGTGGATGATCAGCCTATCTGGAATGTTTATGGAAGAATTGTTGGCGTCGAGCAAACCGCGAAGTCGATAATGATAGGCAATCATCGAGATAGCTGGACGTTCGGCGCAACTGATCCTCACTCCGGCACTGCGATTATGCTTGAGGTGGCTCGAATCTTCGGCGATCTCCTTGATCGAGGTTGGCGGCCGTTGAGGACCATCGAATTCATGTCATGGGACGCGGAGGAGTACAATCTCATAGGGTCAACTGAGTTTGTGGAGAAGAACCTGGACGCCCTAAGACGAGATGGATATGCTTATATCAACCTCGACACTGCTGTTACTGGCTCAGAATTCCATGCCTCTGGCTCTCCTGTTTTCCAGAAGATCCTCTACCGAATCATCGACCGGATATCTGATCCAAATTTGAATACAACACTTCGCGAGATTTGGGACCAAAAGGGCTCTAAGCTTGAAGGCCTTGGTGCTGGCTCTGATTATGTTGCATTTCAAGATATGGCAGGTACTAGCTCGCTGGATTTGTCGTTTGAAGGGCCACCATTCCCTTATCATTCTAGTTATGACGACTTCGAGTGGATGGACACGGTTGGTGACCCAGGCTTCGTATATCACTCGATGCTTGCTGAGCTGCTCGCTCTTCTCATTCTTGAGCTTGCGGATCGCCCGATTCTACCGTTCGACATGGCAGCTTATGCGAACAGTCTTCAGAAATGGATCGATGAGCTACAGTCTTGGAGCGAGAATAAGGGCGCGAATCAAGCTGGCCAGCCACCTCTTGACATGAGCGTTCTCAAAGCTGCTGCGAACGAGGTGACTGGTGCTGTTGGAACATTTGAGCAGTGGGAATCAAGATGGGAGAATTCCGTGTTGGCCGCCAGTGGCTGGGAGCCTATTGGGCTTGGCAATGAGAGAGCTGACTACAATAACCGCATGGCTCAATTTGAGACCGACCTCCTGGATCTGGATCCCCATGGTGGCGTAAGTTCTACTGAATTCTCTGCCATCATCAACGTGACTGACTGTACTGTAGATTCAGAACCGTACCCAATTTCGACACGTCGTATTTGGACCCCAGTTGTGGTCCGGCTACGACGAAGCATTCTTTCCTGCAATTCGTGATGTCATTGATGCGGGCGACTGGTTGCTTGCTAACCAAACCGTGGACAAAGTCGCAGGTATTATTCGGAAGGCTGCGCAGAATCTGAAGATCTGAGCAATGGTGGAATTGTTTCGTTGTCTATATACCTGAAAGGGCCTCGTCTCGAGACTCTCGCAAAATGGGGGATGATTTTCTGTCTGCATTGCAGTGGCGTTGGTGGTCATATCGTAGGGGTTCTCTATAGCCATCCTGGACATATTTGTCTCTCGGTCACATTTCCTTTAGTTTCTCGGCATATTCTGAGCTGGCCGACGTTTGTACAGCATGGCTTCTCTGTATAAAAAAGGTCCCTTGCGGATCGTTTCTTCACATCGCTCGTCACCCCCCGCTTATGCATGAAAATTGTGTGACTGACATCAACCCTTGTCCGTTTGCTATCGATGTAACGGCAAGGCATTGATGAGAATATACATGATTACAAGAGAATTTACATGCGAAGCGTCGTCAACACACCGAAGGCGATCTATGCTTCTTCCGGCCCTTCAACATAGGGCTCCATCTCATCTTCACCCAGTCTGCACCCTTGTCACCTCCGCCACTTCCGTCGGCCTTCGCCCTTTATCACTTCTTTACGGATCATTACTTCGGAGTCAAAACAATCCCTTCGTACTCTTTACTCTTGATCATCTCCAGTGTATGCAGGAAGTGCTTCTTGCTGTGCTCGATAGACGCGGAGTCTTGCTGGTTGCCAGCCAAGTTTGAATGAATCAGCTCGATGAGACCATTGAGGTACTTTGTGGTCACCTATCACGAGATCAGCCTTGTTTCAGAGGAGCATATGGATGAGACTTACAGATTCGTTCTTTTGGTCAAAGTAGTAGACGTATCGGTCTAGGATCTCGACAAACAGCTCGATGGAAGTTGCGGTCTCCATGCACGAATCGGCCACCCTAAGAGCACGCTGGAGGCATTCAAGTACTCGCTTGCCATCCCGATAGAGCTGTTGAGTCAGATGTCAGCATGCTAATAGAGCAGAATTGCCAGGATACTCAGCTTGCACATACATTGGTCTCGTCCTCCTCGCCATTAGCGGCATTTGGCGTTGCCCACCAAAGATGACTTGCTAGGTACACTGCACGGCACTGATCGGGCTTTCGTAGCAGCTTGCTAGCATGTTGTGCACACTTTGTGATGAGAGTGTCATAGTTCTCTTTGCTGAAGTTTCTCGATTGATGTAAGGCTGTTGAAATGACGCAAACGGCTTGGAACTGTGCCTTGGAGTCTGAAACAGCCTCCTCATACACGGTAAATGCTTGTGCGAAGAACTCGTAGGCGACTTCCTCGAATCCAGTCATGTCCGCGGTCTGGCCGCAAGCACAGAACAGTCTTAGAGCAAGCTCGGCTGCCCCTGCGCCATTGACACGAGTATAGAGAGTACTCAAAGCGGAATGCAGGAACTTATATAGGGCAGAAGACTGGGTCGACCAATTATCATCATAATGCTCGCGAGCCTTGAAGCGACGGGCCAGCTTCATCCCAACGGTGATGAGAGGCGGGGTCGTTGTACGAATGCGCTCGTTACCCTCTGCATAAGCCTTGCGAGTCATCTGTAACAGCTTGAACTGAGTGTCATTGTTCTCCGATTGGAGCAAATGAACAAGTCGTGCTAGCCAACCCTGCTCCTCCATAGTCTCGTCAGTCTCCAAAGCGCGTGCCCGCGGCTGGACAACGCCCGGGTAGCCAGCCGGTGGCTGAGAGCCCTCTTTGATGAGGACCTTTAAGACCTCAAGCACGTTCTCCAACTGTTCTGTGGTCGTAATTGGAGTTTGACTGCGGAGGAGTGTCCGCGCAACTTCGCCCGCAACTGCACGTCGTGTAGGGTATGTCTGGGATTGAAATAGGGGAACGTATGTAGGAAGAGATAAAGCAGTGAAAAGAGATACGTATCTCTTGAGGGGCGCTTGCAAAAGGGCAAGGAGGCTTTGCTGTGCTGGTGGAGAATGAAGATCGGCGCTGTTGGCATGCTCTCTCACCTTAACATTCGCGAAATCCAAAATCTGGTCAACGAAGTCAAGTCTTTCGGGATAAATGTTCAACGCCAGGTTACTGAGTGACACCAAAAGCGCGATGGTGTCTTGGATGGGCAGATGCTGAGCTTGAACCAGATTCTTGACTTGTCCAAAGAAAATCTCGTACAGTCTGACATTTTCAGGGATTCCACGGTGCTTCGCGGGAGCTTCAGTCTCCTCTGCTCCATTGACAGCAGTGGTCTCAGTTTCCGCTATTGACGGTGTTGCTTCGGATTCTTTTGTCAAGGTCTCTGTCGTTGACGCAGAATCACCTTCTCCACCTTCAGCTTGTTCTCCATTGGTTTCCGAGGTAGCCGATGGCTCGTCAGTCGCGACTGGCGGCTCGGGTTGTTCTTTTCCAAGCTTTGTCTTCTCCAAAAGCGCTGCTAATGCCTCTTCTTCAACCTTGCCTCTGTCTTCGTCGGACTCGTTCTGTGCTTCCCTCTCGGCGTAATCGGAAAGTCTGTCCATGAGACCAATGACAATGGCTTTGACATTAACATGAGGGTTCAGTCTTGACACAGCCCCGAGGAATTGATCAAGTGTGTGTAGGTGGAATTCGTCGGGGAAGACCTGAATGATGACTTCCAGAAGGTACTCCTGAGCGAGGACATCTCTGCACTGAACGACTTGCTCCAGCAGTGGAGCAAGAATTCCTTGCTTATAAGCTTGCAAGTCAACCAATTGGCTCAACCGTACAATGTTGCTTCCAACCAAAAGCTGCAGCTCCTTGCGTTCCTGTGTTCGCTGTTCTCGTTCCCTAGAATGCCCTTGGTGTTGCAACCGTACCCAAAGCTTATTCATCTCCACGAAATTGGTCAAGATGAAATTGATCGAGTCTTGCAAGTTCCCTTCCGGCCCATCCCCCTCACCCGTAGGCAGAAAATCTCGAGCTTGGCCAGACAAGTAGTATCGCAGAAACAGTCCCCTGATAGGATGTTGAACGCCTCGGCTCATGTCCATCATGTCTTTCATCAATTCCTTGACGGGGGCGCCCTCGATAGACATGTATGCTGTCCCAACAGTGATCATTAAGTAAAGTCGGGGGACAATGTTGCCCGCATATTGTACTAGCTCGTAGAGGTCCGCGAGATGATTGACTGGGTGGTTTTCGCGCAGGTGTACCGAGAGATAGCGGAGCGCATCAAAGACAGACATGTACAATTCGTAATATTGCTTCGGGCTAAGGCTGCTCGTTCGGAGTTCGGAGACCAGAGTAGAACTGGAAGATGTTTGTTAGTCACGCTGCGCATGTCGATACGACCAAAGCCACCTCATTGAGAGCTTATCTAAGAGCTCTCGCGGGACGCAGTCCGAAGAACTTACCAGCACTTAAGAGCGTCCATGAGCTTTCCCGGTGTGTCCAAGCACTTGCGCATCAGTGCCGTCTGCTGTCGAACGGCTATGAGAGCATCTTCAAGCAGACGGGCCTGGTCCTCGGGGGGGGCCGGTGCCGCCATCTCTGGTAGGATAGATGCTTTGGAGGTGCAACTCAGCTGAGGTTGTCGACGAAATTAGCTATGCAGACGAAGCGTTCCAGGCAAAATCCAACGCTGGGTCAATAGGACAGCATCAGCGGTGTAAAATACAGCAATCGCAACGGGAGCTGTATGGATGCGATGACGACGCAGGAAGGATAGTGCTAGAGATGTCGGCTGCCTTCAGCTAGTTGGAGGCTTGGAGCTACCCACCACCTTCGCACCATACGCCAGCCACAGCCACACTTGTGAGATCTTACGTAAGGCACCTGACTGCCACGTGATAGTCAGTCCTCTGAGGCAATTCCTCAGTCTCCTGCACTAAATTTCACATTGCATCACGCACCAATATCATAACTACTTTATCATTCTTCAGATGTCGCTCGCCTAAAACCTATCCAAAACACCCTTTTTTCTGATCTCCTAACAGCGGTCAGATATATTACTTCTTTGATTTCACATCTGTTTAGCAATCAATTTTGGTAGGTATCTGGTCGCGAAACGGCAGCCCTCTCGATGATATCTATTAATCGCAGCATCTCGTAGTTCTTTAAGAACGGACTGTGCCCGCTAGCGAATTCAACGACCTCAGCTCCCGCTGCTTGACCCAGTCCCAGCTGAATCTCGAATGGCACAGCTTGATCGAGTTTACAAGCGACGTACGTCTTAGGGACTTTGATTTCTGCCGGCGTGTACGACACCGTTGTCATGAAACTCGCGAGGCTTTGCTTTACAAGGCCTGATGTGCATATATCGGCTGTCGTCTGGTCTATGTCGTTGTAGAACCGCGATGGCCCATTCTCATGTGCCAGCGCAACTTCATCCTGCTTCTGTCAGCATCGAAACTTGTAGATACGGAGCAAGTCTAGCATCAAATTACCTGGATGTCCCACCAGTCAGGCTTCACACCGCCAACGCCGATCCACAAGCTCAAGCCTGGCTGTGGGAGAGCAAATGCCGCAATATACACCACTGAGATGATTCCTCCATTTTCGCCCTTTGCCTTCCGTTCGGCAACAGTGTTGCTTTCAGCCGCCGCCGTTCCAGGAATTCCACCGTAGCTGTGACAGACCAGTACAACCTCCTTACCAGCATCCAAATATGGGTTCATGGCTGATTGGATGAGTCTTACATCATCAAAATGCGTTTTTCCAACAATGGTATTGTCCCAGCCAGCCGTGGCATTCAATGGCGCGACAACCGTGAATCCCTTGAAGCGCAGCCCATTGATGAGCTCTATGTAGTGCAATGGGCGGTGCCATGCCCCATGGACAAGGACTATCACGGGCTTCTCAGGGCTTGACATTATGGGTTGACTCTCAGGGGTTATTCGGCACAGGTGGTTTGGTAAGACTGATGTTCAGTTTCACAGTATCGGGCAATAGAGCTCTCGTCCGCACAAGGCAAAGGCTTTATATAATCGCAAGCATTTTGCCTATTGGGTGACATGCGTCACTCTGTCATCCTACACTTCTAAGAAAACTCGTCAAGAACTTGGAATATGAACCTGAATCCTGTCTGAATCGAAGCTGATTGGTGACAGAAGCCTCAAAAGTCATCTCTATACCCTAGCTAGGTGACTTACACGATAAACGGGACGGTTCACCATTGCTTCTTGGGGCAGCTATTCTCAAGTCCTCTTTATTGGCTATCTGGGTGATACAGCCTGGGTTGAGGGTGTCATGAGACGAGACAGCCAATCATATCCATCGTGCTATTCAAAAGAGTCAACTTACACGAGCGAAAGTCCGATCCGGCTGCCACTAGTGCGGGATCTACATCTGCAACCCAAACTAGCGCAATGAACAAAGCAAACTGTAGTTGCACAAACAGGTAGGTCCTCTGGATGGGAGATATACGTACGAATGGATTGTCTATCTAAGCTCTCTTGAAACATACAAGCAAAACCTATGCCTGCCTAGTCATGTACGATCTGCAGTTATAGGCTGTCAATTCAAGTCTTGTTTGGCGCCTACCATGGAAGTGCACAGGCAGTATCAATGAACCCGTTTATGTGTTGTTCGATCGATAAATCAAAACTGCTGTCATTAAACTTGGTTGAGAACGGCAACTCTTCGTCAAGCAACAAAATACAGATCCTAGTGCGAAAGATCGAAGTCAGGGTTGTAGATAGCTATAGAAGACTATCCTTGAGCTGTTAGTATAATTGAGAGCAGCTTCTTAACTACTAAAGGAAGACATGGGAAGACTAATAGATTACAACGAGCAACTACGGCGTGCAAATCTGTTTACATCAATCAAATTCCTTGACATGATCATTGTGTCACAAATGAGCTATCTAGCAACAGGAAGATCTTCTCCAGTGAAGTAGTCATCTGAAGTGGTATATATGCTATGTGACACATTGAGATATTCTAGCGACATACTCCGACATTCCATCATAGTCTACTCAAAATATGGACAGATTATTTTGGTACAATCTACATTGCTCCAGAACGCCAGCGCGATAAGATGCCATGGCCTCCACCGTCGCGTATTCCTCTTACCAAAATCACAATCGCAATATGCCTCGCTCCTTTCATCAAATATGTCGTCATCATGTGCACCTTACAGGCCCTATCGATATTGTCTCTAGACTGCTCGTCCTTAAATACCGAATCAGTGGTCATTTCCTCAGCCGCAGAGATATCGAACATGTGTCAATACTCCTGGGGAGCCAGACCTAATTGGGTTTTTAAGAATCGCGCGAGTCCCTTTTCTATCGAAGCCGAGAATGCCGCAAAAAGAATCATGGCTGTGGTCCTTGGAGCTGGAAAGTACTGAATGTCTGGCACAATTTCGAGCTCTTGAATTCCCTTCACTTGGGATAACTCGGTCACCCAGTCCAGGCTTTCATGCTTGACCAGAGTTAGCAACCGGAAATCAGACTCTGTGAGCTCTTCGGGGCCGTCCCAAGGGTTGTTCGGCCGGCCGCCTTCGACAACTAAACGTAGCTTCTTGACATGTGAACTTGAGCTCAAAAACCGGCATAGATGTGCCCACTCGTAGCGGTCACTCTCTAGGTACGGTAGTGGTCCACGTTTATAGACGGCAATTTCCTCGACTAGTGGCCGGCTGTGTGCTGTCCGGTCCATGAGAAAAGGCACCACGGCCTCAATGCTGATGCCAAAGTCGAACGAATGCTTCCCGTACAGAAGATGCGTTGTTTCATTGTGTATTCGGCGATTCACGCTCATGATAGCCGTGTGAAATTCGACACCCTCCGTGGCAATTGCATATGTTGTCTCATAGCACCTGCGATGTAGCGTCTGTTCAAGAACACGATACTTTGACCGTGTCCTCCCTGCGTGCTCTCGAAATTTCTTCTCGGTCAGACTTTGCACCAACAAGTTCTTGTTTCCAGCGTCATCGAGGAGGTAGCTGTAGATGAGAAGTCGGATTTCGGCCGGAATATCCATGAAAGGTGAGGATGGCTTCGCGCTCATCTTGAAAGCAAAGTTGTTCGCCGATGACCCATTTTCGACTTCCTGAGTGATCGTTGTCGTAATCGACATGGTGGATAGACTTTTGTGACAAGATGTTGCGTGGTGATAAGCCCGACGATGATGAGAAAACGGAAACAGAACCGGGTTGTGGAAGGTGACCGCTTGATCATTAATTATAATGCAAGTCTCACCTTCTAGGGATGAGGATCTGCATGGAGGGCACATCCCGGTGCCATCTTACTCATTAAAGAAAATCCAGCCCAACAGGGTGCTGACAGGACCGGGCTGAGCAGGGGCGGCGGCGCAACGTTGATAGGCCATCAAGGTGTTAAGGAGCGTCAGTTCTTGGCGTCGCACAGCGAATTGAGACGGGGGATCGATCAAACGTCATTTGGAATTGTCCAATGCTATGGCTATTGGTCCTTTGATAACATGGCGTTAGACCATTCGAGCATTACGGGCTCTTCAGAAGTCATCAACGGGGCTGGGAAATGCGAAGAATACCCGCTGGTGGGCTCCTGTAAACACCTAAGCTGTAAGTCAATTAGCCTTCTGTAAGTGCACTAGACGCAGCTGGGAAATCCTGATACGACGGTGCCAATCCGGTCGAGGCCCATGTTCGCCCCATAGCTCAATAGCGCTGACAGCTAGGTAATGTCTCCAAAAAGCCTAGACCAGTTGGTAAGCTGACGTTGATGCGCGGCAGAGAGGCCAGGTGGGCGGCTTGGTATATGAGATGCAGCGAGTCTTAACCGACCTTCCGCGGCCCCTCCCCCCCGGCGCACCGCGGAGTTCCTTGTAGTGCATAGTATTCTGTTGATGTGATTCTTGCTTTTTTCTTTTTGGCGAGGCGAACAAATAACAACAATACGCTATTGAGCGTGAGCACTGGGCTCTCCTCAAAATGATCGCTTTTTCTCGGCGAAATTCTCCCGTATTAGTTGCCAGGACTCGGCGGGCCGGCGAGGCCAGTCTGATCCTCCCCACTGATGTGCAACACCAGTGTTCAGCCTCCTGTTTCCTCTTGAGCAAGAAAATCCGATCGCCTTGCTGACGAACAAAGGAACGCGCGCCTCGTCTTCCTCGGAGAAGTGCAAACAGGAAGGCGGAGCATGGCAACAGAACCAAAGCAGCCCGTTACCTTCGGATTAGTAATTGAATAGAACTTCGCTCCTCGACCACCAAACCAATACCTCCGATTCATTGACAACAGCTCAACCCGCGTAGTCCTCTCAAAGGCGTTCAATTTCTCATATCTAATACGCTGTGGAGTAAATTAAATTATTTTCCCCTTGTCTTCTTTTGCATATTGTCTTGTTGTACTTACCTGAAACCAAAAGCAACGCTTATGCCGCTTCTATCATCACCCTAAATAACCACAAAACTGTCTAGAGGCCTATATAGATGGAACCCTATTGTATGCGAAACAACCGAGCATGTTTCTTGACTTTATGACATATGAATGAAATTGGGCACTTCGCAGTTTGACATAGCCTTCAAAAACCCCAACTCAAGCGGCTATGAACGGATGTCGGC